TTTTTACTTTACTCTAACCTGTACCCATGTTCACTTAATATTTGTATTTACCTACACAATTGCCGATTGGCGTTTATATATAAATAAATAAATAAATAAATAAATAATTTTTTTGAGGAAATGGAACCTCCTCCCTAAACTGCACTCTAGGGGACAGGTGGTATTGACAAAATAAGCTGTAAACACTCGAGGAATCTATTCATATAACTTTTATTGAAAAATATCTCTTCATTTTTATCTATATAAAATAAAGAGTACAAACAAACAAAGGTACATTAATTTCAATATTATTTATATAGATTGTTTACTTTAAAAAATAATTTAAGACGAAACTGGATAAATGGGTTGTAACCAAATTGCCTATCCAGAACGCCGCGGGCTTGAGGAAAAACTTGCTCAGCTAAGTGCAGCACGCCGTTAGATTCTCATCTGCTCTTCTACACTTGCTTTCGCGTACTTTAGTGTGAGATCCAACAAAGATACATTTAGGAAAAATGAGAAGACGGATTTAATCAGTTGTCTCTTCTTCGAAATGTGTGTCATCTGAACTTAGTGGTGAGGTTTTATAAATGTTAAAACCAAACCACGTGTTAGTACATCGAAGTTGCTTTTGCATGTAACGTTATGTGACATCGGTGGTATTTTTAACGCTAAAGTAACTTGGTAATTTCGCTAAATAACGCATAACGCATTATACAATTATTATTATTTTAAGTTTGGAAATGTAAGCATTACACCACTTACTAGACAGTATAGTACTGGCTTATCATAAATATACTTATTATTACAATTATTTTATGCACTATTTTTTTTTTATTTAAACAATAAGTACAAAATTTCCCATCGTTACTGGCGTTTATTTACTGTTATGGAATACGCCGTATTTTTGTATAGTTGTAGTCTTTTAGACCAATAAACGAAAGAACAGTAAGTTTACGTATTTCTCGATCTCCGGATATTATTTTGAATATACTTATGAACTCATCATCTCATTTACTAGGTTATGTGGGAAATACATTTTTGATTTTTGCATTCAATAAGGCTTAAACATTTTTTAACCTTTTCAAAAACCATGAATGTAATTTTATTTTTCACACATACATACAGACATACAGTTCTACACCATCAATTATTTTTCTATGTATCCTGGTAAAAAAATATTGAATACCGATCTTTTTTTCAAAATTTAATCTGGTCAAGAGAAGTAAGAAAATAAATCTTTTTCTTTTAGCTATGTTGTACCGATTTTAAAAATGCATGTGCGTATGTAAGACTACTGTTCTTGGAATACTTGTATAAAGATCTATTACGGTCATTACATTGCTGATCGATAAGGAACGTATTTAGTAAATAGTAAATGTTCACACTAATGTTCTTTTGCTTCTCACGTTAATGATACAGTACAAATGTACGTGTAAAGGTGCGTTTACATTAGAACACAGACGCGAACGAAAAAATGTAAACAGTATAGCCTAAAGCGTTTGCTCCAATGGCGGTCTGATCAAAGCGTGCGATATGCTTTCGAATTCGTTCGGTAGCATTAGTTTGAATTCGTTTGTGTTTTTTTTTCACAATAGTGAGGTTTACGCTGTTCGCTGTTTAATAATTAATGGACGTTACAATATAGTAACAGTGAAAATAGTCTCTTTTGTGTTGAACAAAAATCAAATATTTGGACAGTTGATTAACAAATAGCTACGTCGTTTTTATCAGTTATCAGTATAGGTTACCTAGATAAAGTAGGTATACGTTACTGCACAGCAAAATAATAACAACTACCACTTTTTGTGTGTTTGTTTTTTTTTTTATCAAAATAATAAAAAGGAGTTAAAGTTTGATACGATTTTAATTTTTAGGTCTACTCAATTTTAATAAAACATTTTATAATTTTTACATGAGTCATGGCCGCATAAGTTATTAAGAAGTTTAATTTTTTTTGTGTAACAAATGTAGTGGTAACTAAAATGTACTAAGTTTTCTTCCGGTACTTTAGTTACGTCGTAATTATTTTCTTAAATTTAAATATTTTAATAAAAGAACACAAAACTAGTTATTCAGAAATGGAATGAGGGCAACAAGTAATGTCATGTTCTGATGTCCACATGGTTTTAGATTCTGGGTGGGGTGATGAATGTATTAATTTTACAATGACGTGTTTTTTGTTTTTATTTTTGTGTCTTCGAGGTTTGGGTGCTTCGATTTTCTTCAACAGTATCTTCGCTGGTATAAAAGTGAATCTAAATGCTGCATTCGGGAGGTCAAAATTTAGAATTTCCAATAGTTTTCAAAAGCGACAGGAAAAACAAATAAAAAATTAAGGAAAAACGGACATTTTTACGAAAAACCAGTTTTCGAAAAATCAATTTTGGTTTTTAGTGTAACTAAAAAAATGACCATAAATACATGAAATGTTCACTTAATATTTGTGTTAGTATTTCCTCATATTAGAGTGATTTTCTTATTTTGTTGTAATTCAAAAACAAATAACTGTAGATACTTGAAATTTATGCCATATGTTTATTTTATCAATTCATATACTACTTGATAACATTTTCAAAATATTTCGAGCTGTTTACGTACATTTTCGATTTAATTTTTTTTAGTTTTTTTTTTATAATTGTCAATAAAATTATATTTGTCGGGTCAAAAAGCTTAACAATTTAATACGAGGCCCCTGATATATATTTACAATATCAGTTGAAAAAATATTAAAAGTACATAATATGCGTGGTTTTTTTTATAAGAGCTTAAGTTGAAATTTGGACAAAATTACATATTAACATAAAGAATAACGATTGTTGTCATTTTATTGTAATAAAATTAAATTCGAGTCTTAAACAGCCCAATTTTACATAAGTATATTTAATATTTTTCCAGCATCACTGATAATTTAAGAATAATGTTAATTTTACTTACAGGCTACGGCATTGATAAGTAATAACAATATAAAATATCCATGACTGACATACCGTCTCCACTCAGAATGGTTTTTCATATAGGTACAATGATATGATATCATTGAATTCAAATAAACCATATAAAAGAAACCTTTTAGACGCCTAATATGTACAGAAGAGCGACATCCACTTACCCTCTTTTTTATTATTATGTTTAAGTTTTAAAGAAGGTTTGTTACATTTTTCTCATCAATAGGTATAAAATGTAAAGGAAATAACGATATACCGTTATAGTTATCATATTATGTTTATAAGGAAAAATGTTTTACATAATATTATTATCAAGGTAATATTATACTCATCGAGAACTTCAACTAAGATAAAAGATGTTTACGAAAAAAAATCCAAAAAAAATTGAATCTAAATATTTAACCTACATGTATTTACTATGCGTCATTTTTTACTGTTTGGCTAATTGATAGGTAGCTGTGAAATGAATCACAGCTCTTCTGTTTGTTATTACTTATTATTATTAAGCTATGTTGAATGTAAATTGAAACTTTATTAAATATTGTTCGACAAGCATTTTTCTATTTGTTTTGTATGAATCATTACCAATAATTGTGTCTCAATTTATATGTACCTACCTATAATAGCTCTTATAAATTATACCTAATGATTAAGTAATTTTTAATAATATATTCCTAAATTATATAATGTATATTATATAGGATGAAATAAATGTAAATGGATCAAATGAAAACTAATATAATTTATAATACTTAGGTACTAGGTATTTGGTAGATAATGGCACATTTTACGAATTATTTAAAAAGATCACAACCTCCACTTCTTACTAAAACGGTTTCCACTAATCGTGTGTTTACCAATAAAACACCATTATAATATAATTGATAAAATTCAAGTAGATTCTTAATTTCTTTCTTCTAAGAATGATAATAATTAATAAATATAAATGTATACATGTGTGTTTATATGTATTAATATTTTTTTTATAAATTGTTTCGTTATATATTTTGTTCCACCACAAATTCACAATATAAATACTTACTTAATCATTATTTAAATTAATTATATAAGATTCTTGAATGGAGTGATCTTTAGAGAATCTCTAGGGGAATTTTTTCACATAATCATTTTTTTAATATAGTTTTATAGTATAAAAAAACAACCAAGATAGATAGTATGGCAATTTTCACCAAATGTTTATATTAGCATTTTCTATACATTGTATAATTTTTTTAATATTTGATCTCTAAAATGCCCATAAGGTTTGATATTAACTTGAATTGAAAATTTAATCTATTTCAGCTTTAACCTATCCATCTAAAAATAATTGTTTATCGCTGACCAATAATTTATTTATAACAGATATAATTAAGCAATTTTAATTTTTAACCTTATGGAGAAGGTATAGTAATTAAAAGTGGTTACAACAGATTCTGGAGGATTAATTAATGTCGATAAAAAAAAAAATCTTAACAATATAACTGCAATATGCATATGATATAGACTAAACTAACATTGTCAATACCTCTGTTAATATCCATTAATAATTTTGTCCCTAAAACATTTGTGTAAATACTTCATGTAACGTAATTATTGTTGTTTATAACATTTTATTTAATAAATATACAGAATGATCTACTAATCCCAAACCAGCTGCCACTAATATAGACACATATTTTACTCAACAATTTTTCATTTATTAATTTTTTAACATTTGTTACCTGGCTTTTTATAATATAATTTTAAAATGTTTATCCACATTATCATAATATAATAAAATACTTTTAAAATTAAATATTTAAGATGTATCAATTTTCTTCCGTAAATTCCTTTAACTAGCCAAGCAATAATACTAAACATGATCATCGAAGTTTCGGATCATCGTTATTGTTATACATCCCCCTGTATACCTATATAATCGTCTAAATAAATTGGTCGTGCACAATTGTAATAAAAAAATAATATTTAATTAATATACAGTGCGTCTCACTCGTAGTAATTAACAAACAGACAAAACATTAATACCTACTTAATTTAAAACCCAAACATATAAAATAACACCTAAAACTCAAAATGTATCGATATACTTTTTACATATATTTATTAATTCCGTTTTTAAATGGATGTCTTTCATCTCAAAATCTACTGCACGGTCCTTATCATCCACCGCCTATTTATGAAGTTTGCCCAAGGTAATATAAACAAGTTTATTTTACTATTAAAATAAATATTAATCATTGCTTATACTTAAAGCAATTCTTTTTTTATTTATGTCTTTATTGTCTGGGGGCGTCCAAATGTCCAATGTACTTACAGGAGTTATATGCATGACGTAAAATGTTTAGTGCAATTCGGTAGTACAAATTCTACTTTTACAATGATCTAATTGGAATTTTTAGAAAAATATTTTTAACCAGACATCAATCACATGGAAATACATTGATTTTAAAAAAGGTCCTAAGTAAAAATCTATAAGAAAAAAGCAGAATCTTAATTTTCATTTTAAAGAAAAAAGTCTAGACTAATATTTTGAAAGCTTGATAATGAAATATTGAACAATTTTTTCTAAATTGGAATTTGAAATAGCAGTATGCCTTAATATTCTTATTTAAGTGTAAATTAAAGAAAAGGTTAAACTGTATTAGAAATATATATGTTATTAGAATCTTAAGTTAGATGTAACTAATAAAAGGGGAGGTAGGTAATCACCCTACTGTGCAGTAGGTGTCGAGTGTATCTCGATATTGAATAAGTCACTGTGATGTAGCTACATACGATGTGTTAAATTTAAATATGTAGATAAATCGTAGCATACGATAAACAATTCTGAGCGAAGACGGCCAGCACATAATATTACTAAATATGTTTTTTGATACAATTATATTCCTTTTAAAGTAATTAATTTGTCTATTGTATATTAGTGTTGATTGTATAATACGGTAGCATTCATTTTTGCCGAAAACATTGTAGGTACTTGAAATTGTCATTGTGTGCATACAGACATACAGCCATACAACATAATAATATACGTTAACAGTTACAACAAATTATTATTATTAAATCATTAATTACACTCGATATTATATGTTATTTTTCACAGTTCAATATATTGCAAAGGCGATCTTTTAAAAGCTGTCCAAATTTCGAAAGTGTTTGGATCACCTAAAACATTTGTGGATATGCAAATGAAACGAAAAGAAGTAGACATACTCAATGATTTTAGAACATTGAATAACCAATTTAATGGAACTATTCCAGTAAGAGATCTAAGGAACTTTGTTATTGCTAATTTCAGAGTTTATAATATTATTAACTGGTCACCACCAGATTTCAAAAATCATCCCCGAATCATTGATTATGTAAAAGATAGCAACTATAAGTAAGTATTTAAATAATAATTGTATATATTGAGCAGAGTGATGAATATACATTGATTTTACAATCATGTGCCATGTGCGTGTAATGTTTGTGTCTGTATCGTCACCTTTTAGAGCAGTACAAATTGATTTTAAACTTTAAGGATGCATCTAATTGGTACTTCGGAGGGTCAAAAGTAAACCAATGTTTTAAATTTTGTACACTACTTTATTTATGGACGATACAATTTTTATTTTTGAGTAAAATAGATAGAAAATTTAATACATCTGCTCTGTGATTGATCGCCAACCGCCGTTGTCGGCAACCGACGTTACTTTTTATTTTCAACGGCCGCCGCCGCTTGTATGCAAGTGGCTGCGCAACGGCGACCGTCTTATGTCGGTCGAATAGGTAAACTTAGATGGAATAGAGCAGTGGTCTTTTTGGACTCACGGCCCACCTTTTTAAGCCAACATTTTTCGCTACCCACGTAAGCTTTGTAAAAAAGCTAAAATTGCTTAATGCTTTGCAGTACTATTAGTACTAATAGTTTTAATAAACTGAATAAATAAAAATTACATTTTGGTATAGGTAGAATATTTAATTATTATTGTTTGAAAATGTATAGAATTCATACAATAAATTCGGATTTAATTTTAAAAAGAAGACTTTCGCGACCCAATTTTATAGCTTACCCGACATGATTATTTTTATTTTATTCTTCGAAATAAATGTAAATAAAATGTGATACTGATGGTAATTTATCTCAAGTATGTTTATAACAATTATTTTAAGTTTCATATTTTTTCTTTAAAAATTAATAATAATTAAAATTAAGATATTTAACTATAATTTTTTTTTTTAGAGAATTTTTGTCGGGAATAAACCAGATTTGGAAGAAATTAGGAAAAAAAATACCAGATCGTGTAAGAACTAAAAGTGGTCGTTTTTCACTGATATATGTACCTAACGGATACTTTGTGAACGAGGAATATCAAAGTGAATTTAATTATTGGGACACATATTGGATAATAAAAGGTATAATATGGTACAGGCACCTATTCTTATATACCTATACTCACATATTCAATTAAAAGTCGTCATAGGTACTTTTTTAATGTAAGTTAAAATCTGTGTGGACATTTTCTATTTTTTCATCACAATCTACATCTATGCAAATGTATTATTTTAATTTAAATTATTATGACTGACCGTTTCAAAAAAAAAATCTAACTGCAACAATATTAATATTTTCAATCTAATCTAAAGATCCGCTCAATCAATGAAATCTTTTCGCTTGTTTATAAATGCTTCCAGCCAAAACTTTATCCAAATCTTAACCAACTTATTTCACAAATTGTTTCAAACATGGTTCTTGGCGAATGCACAAAAATGAGTTGACGACTATAAACGGAGTTTGTGTAGTAATTTAATCATCTAATAAAATAAACCATCAAGGTGTCAAACATTCAACTAAGAGACTCCCTTTCATGTCATGGCCTACCCTTTCCCCTCGAAATGAGTTTCCAGTTACGGCCCTGCAATTAATAATTAGTAGGTAAATACAAAATGTGTAATTTAAAAATAACTTAAAAGAAGATACCTAAATAGTGTTTACTGATACTACTAATGTACATGTAGAATAGGTACTATACAAAACTTTGTACTATATGGTTGTACCTATGACAAACATTTTTTCTACAGACGTTTTAAATTTTAAGTATGGACTTAATTATAATTTCGCTACAATGATGAAATAGATACTGAACATTCACCTTCATCATTAAAATATTACCCCCTGAGTTTTATTAGTTTTATAGCATAATAATTTGATAGTACGATATCATATAATATTAGGTATATACAAATATAGCATACATAACAACTCTGTAGTGTGTACATAGATAATATAAATTAATATATAATTACATTATTAATTATATACCATTTTATATACTTTATAAATTTATATAAATATTTTATTTTTGATATTATTCTATAGGTGCATTAATATGTGGAATGAAAACTACAGTAAAAGGGATTTTAAATAATTTTCTTCACATGATTAAGAACTATGGATATGTGTTATTAGGAAACAGAATATATTATGAAGGAAGATCACAACCACCGCTTCTTATTACAATGATGTCTATGTATTATACATTTACTAAAGACGAAAAATTCATAACTGATAATGTTGATGTAAGTACCTACCTAAAACTATAATATTCACAAATAATGAGATTATCTTAATTCTAATATAAATAATTAAAAATAATACCTAATCAGTTCAATATTTATATTAGTGATGCTTCCAGAGAAAAATGTAAACTAAAATTAACAATAAAATATTAGGTTTATTACAGTTTTGTCAAGATGGCTATTTTCGGTATTTAAATGTTCCTACATTTGTTGTATTTGCCGATTTCACATAATATTATAAATACTATTCCCATTTCTCATTTTAAAACGTCCATTAAACTCGTATTACATCATAAAAAAAATGAAAAAATCAATTTACTAATTAGTTTAAAACTTTGATAGGTGGTACGCAATATATTTTTTTTCTAAACAATTGTCTTTTATTCTAATTATAGCTCCTAGATGCGGAAATGATGTTCTGGTTATCCTTCAGGACCGTTAAAGTGAAAAGTATGGGTAATATATATATCATGGCTCATTATATGAGCGACACATATGATCCTCGTCCTGAGATGTATAAGTACGTAAGAACAATTTGAGATGAATTTCAATAAATATCATTGTCAAATCATTTACCTCTTATGTTTTAAGTGCTGATGTAAGCATATCCAAAAAATTGCCTACTCTTCGAGATCAAGACGAATATTTATGTAGAGTAAAAGCTGCCTCGGAATCTGGCTGGGGATTTTCAAGCAAACATTTCCACAATCGAAATACTTATAAGGATTCTAGAAGTAAAAATATCATATTTCAATATATTTGACATGTCGCATCAGTACATAGTATTATAATGTATATTTATCAACAATTTAACATTTTGATCAAAATGTATTTCGTTATTAAGATTGATACAAATTGATAGCCAACATTAAAGAAATATTATCACTGAGTCGACATTGTAATATAATAACAATTATATTATAATACATCTGGGTATTGTTACCGACAGTAAACTTTTAAACATTTAATAATTTGAGTCACTAAACATCATAACTACAGATTTGATACAAATAATGTTTTAAGTTTGTATATGTTTAAAATTTTATGGAAAAAAGAATATATATAACTAAAATTGGCGTTTAAGAATTTTACAATATTTAATTATCTTACAGAGACATTACTGAAAATAAATCCTCTGAATTTTGCATATGTTGAATTGAACTCTATAATGCAATTAAATGCAAATATCCTGTCAAATATGTTTCTCATGGCTAATGATCATACGAACTCTAAGTTTTATAAGGACCTTGCTCGTCGTTTTCAAATTGGAATAAACGCAGTAAGTATTTTCAAATACATGAGTATTTAGTAGGTGTACCTTTAATATATATTTATGTTAATTTATACGTATTTCACTGTTTAACTTTAACAGTTATTATGGAACGAAGATGAAAAAATGTGGTTAGATTTTGACACAACGACAGCAGAAAGTCGCAATTATTTTTATGCGTCCAACTTAGCACCTTTGTGGACTGGAAGTTATGACGATAAACTAAGTGAATTTTACGGCGATTCAGCAGTGGAGTATCTAATAAGAAACAATATTATAAATGAAGATTTGACACCACGTTACATATGTGAGTTTATATAATTTATAATTTATAGGTAATAGGTATACTAAAAAATCACGATAATATAGTTTTTACTCTGCTCTAAACTTGGTTTAAAAACCACCGTTATCCAAAAACTAATATGATATTAGGTACTGGAGAAAATTGAAACAAAAGAAAATATTAATTATTTTGCTAACATAAAAATATTTGTCGATTAATAAGAGATACTGCTATAGGCTATTTAAAACAATGTTGTTATGTAACTTAAAAATAATTTAAGGGGAGGGGGCGCAACGAAAAAATTAGAGGTAGGTACGCTATTTTTCAGTTAGTCTAATGATTATGGATTACGCATATACCACTAATTGAATAATCAAATATTGAAATGAATTAAATATATAGTTACTTTTTCAACAATATAATTATCAAAAGAAGAACTAAATGGCATACATTTTGAGGGTGCTAATTTGAAAACTTAGAGTACTTAGCACTCCCATGTCTCGTCCTGAATTGTAATTCTAGTTTTATTTACAAAATTATTAGTTATTACTGTATTAGTTATTACTCTTACTAAAAAGTAAAGAAATATGCTATTAAAAAATACAAGTGTATTCGATTAACAAATCAAGTAGGTAACTGTAAAACTTTTAAAAATAATTTACCCAACACCGGTGAAATATCAATAAGATAATAACATAATATTTTAAAACATCATAGTTATATAATCAGTATACAACTACCTACATGCCTTATATAGGTGTACCAACATCATTGTACAACACTTATTTAGACTGGGACTATCACAACTGTTGGCCACAATTACAATCAATGATAATTTTTGGATTACAATCAACTAGAAGTGAAAAAGCACAAAAAGTAGCACTGAATTTAGCCAGTTCATGGGTGAATACAAATTTTGTGGGATATAATAGGACAAAGAATTTGTTCAAAAAGGTAAATTATTGTTACCTATTAATAACATCAATAAAATTTAAATTTAAATAACTTAAAAATAACAACTTACAGTATAATGCAATTAAATTGGGCAGTGACGGCAACGATGGGCGTTCTTTCTTCTATCCAAAAGGATACGGAGTAACGATCGGGGTACTATTTGAGATTTTTCATGAATGGGGAGATAAACTGAAGAGTATGTAAACAGTAATACTTAGGTAAATAAACTAAATACACTTACTATTATTATGTATTAACAAGTTAAGCGTTTTTTTGTTTTACGATTTTTTTTTTTTTGTTTTAAAATTAATAAAAATTGAATAAACATCATAATGTGTCTACCAAATTTCTTTTTACTGTAAATTATTGTACATTTTGCTTCGCTAACTATTGCAATAGGTACTAAAATTATTTGAAGTTCATTAACTAGGTATATTATTAGGACGAGGATATACAATGCCTATAAGTCACAGTAGTAGCACAGCAGATACACACTATATGGTATTTCGAATTGTGTAAATATTTTTTAAAAGATACATATTTTGTAATTGATACATGTGAGATACATAATTGATACAAAAGTGAAAAAAATGAGTATGCATACAAATTGAATCCCGCGTTGTCAAGATCCCGGTAATCATTCTGTACCTACCTCTACAAGTGTTTGTATTTGTCTTATCAGTTGACAGTTATCAGTTATCACTACTAAGTACTAGACTACTATGAAACAAGTAAAACACTGTGTTTAATTTACAATTATTTTACTTTAACGTATGCCACAAGCCCACAAATGATAGGTAATTAATGACTAATAGTTTAAAATATCAATCATATTTTATAGTTTATCAGAATATTTATTTAGATCTGGTCAATAATGACGAATAATAGGTATACAATTCGTTGAAATGTTGAATCGTATGGTTTTTAGAACATGCAATTTGTATATAGGTAGGTGTATATAAATAATATTTCAACATTCAACTAGAGATTTATTTAGTTTCCTGCATAAATAATGTTATTAAACATTAAACACGCACACTTGCCGGAAATAGGTACTATAACTACGTCTTAAAACGAACATCTGAATACGATTATTTATCAATATTTATAACATCAATGTATATAAACAATATTACTATGCGACTTTAAAAACAGATTTCTGAGAATTTTCGAGTTTCATAGATAAAAAAATAGTTGGTGTACATTATGAATGAGTACAAAAGTCAAGTGACTTGGATTATGGTAATTATAGGTAAGGTAATAATTCGTTTTAGAGTTTAATTATTGATATATTATTTTGATCAATTTAATTTGCTTCGTTATTATTTGCAGTGTAATTATGGAACTAGTGTGACCATCATAATGAATACCTCATATTAGTCCACTTACCATTCTAGAAATAATGGTATTAGAGAACGGGTTAGCCCATAAGTATAGGCGCTATTACTTTGTTACGTGTTTGTACTCGCCGTGTATAGGTTAGGTTAGAGTATTAGATATATCAACTTGTCAGTTGTCAGTAGTCACATACTCAAACTTCAGTTCATTTAAAATTTAAGCCACTTAGGTATACAGGCATACAGCTATGCCTAATACAGTAATACCTATATTATATTTACGATATACCTATATAATAGTACATACCTAATTTAGTTTACCAATATAGCTTTATCTTATACAGTTATACCTATCTAAAAGGGACTCCGAAATTGGTTTATATATTTAATGCTACTATGCATACAAAATTAATTTGGCTTTCCACTAAACTTTTTTTTGTTCAATATTGAGAAACTTAAGGGGGATGTATAAAAATTTCTAACTCGAAATAATAACACATTTTGTGATTTTCAAAATTGTAACTTTAGACGCTCATGAAAAATTCTTGTGGATTCACGCTTACCTTTTTATTTTAATTTCCACTAACAACTTATGAATAATGTTAAGTTATATTTTCAAGTTTTTTACCAAGCGAAAAATCAACAATAATTTTTTTTTTAAAAATCGCAAAAATAGAATTTTTCTCATGTCTAAAAATAGCACACAAAGAGGTGTGTGGAAATTGATAATATAAATTTTCATTGCTCCGCTCAGAATCTAAAACAAAACCTCAATAGCCAATACGCAATGTACATTCTGTCTGTCACTTATCATAACTTATCATGATTATGATTAGATACGACATACCATTGTTATCAATATAATAAATTGTTGAATTCAAAAACAATTTAGGTATTTGCCCATTATTCTATATAATATATTATAGATTATTATATAGATTAACAGTGTTTGATACGTATCCCTTATAGAAAGAAATTCTTTTTTTTTTAAATAAGGAATTCGTTCCTAACATTGTTCTTTAAAAAAAAATGTTGTTCCTTTGTCGTTTCGTTAGAAAATAAACGAGTTATTTTTAAAGGTCCAAAATCCAAATAGAACAAAAAAATAGGTAAAAATAATTTATGCAAATGTATTAAGATGCCTTTTTACTTTACAGTTTACATTCAACCTTGTTTATATTTTAACACGTTACCATAAGTTGAAATATTTTCAAAAATGGTACTCCCAAGCCTCAACTGACAACCAGCATCATAAATTCATAAATGATTTTATTACCTAGGTATTCAATGTTCATGCTATTTTCTGCCGTTGCGACGCGATGACAACAATTTCTATATAATATCAGATATTACATTAATTTACTAATATGTGTTAGGTTAGGTTAGGTTACTATTAGGTATATAGTGACTATTAGTTTTAACAATTAACGTCGATACTCGATAACGATCATCATTGGCATTACACAATACACACACTATGAAAATTTATATTTTTAATTTCAATTATTTGCACAATTATCTGTGCAAATTAAGATTTGAATGGAACTCGTTATTTAAAAAAAAAATAATTCGTTTAACGTGCCATTCTTAAAAGGGAATTCGTTACTTTTAAACACTGATATTTATACTGTATTATCTGTAGAAGTATTAATTTATGTCTTTAATAGTTGAATAATATATTGTTGTATTGACATTTAATTTATTTAAGACTGCACAATTATAGGTACATCACACATAAACTATAGATATCGTGTTTATAATTTTAATAATAATAGTTTTTTTTTTTGTTTTTGATTAAAATATATTCATATAAAATGAAACAAACAAACAAAAAAACCGAAGAAGTCTCTCCGGTCTATAGTAGGTGTCCAGCTCAACTCGTTATTATTATTATTTGTTTTAATTAAGTTAACGTTTCAATATCTGACGTCAGTAGATTGGGTTATTTTTAGTAGGTTTATTACCATGGGAGATGCTACGATTGGTTATTACACGTGCGTATATGTCGAGGATTTGTCACTAAAAACGGCTACATTCAAGTTTTTACCAGTTTTTTAATTTTTTAATTTTATTACTATGACTTTTTTTATTACTGTTTATTTTAATTATTATATAACATTCCTATAATTTAAACTTACAAATTTCATTTTACTTACATATAATTGATGCAACTAAACAACGATAAAAATCAATATTTTTAACCCACCGATAGTCATAATTTGCTGTCGACAGTTCTAAGTCTGTATGAAATGGGAAGGAAAATAATGTTTTTACGTTGGGACGCAATTCGTGTAGTCGTTAATATGGTCGGGCCGCAATTCATGTGCAGCGCTGAAAACTAGTGACACCGGCCGGTGCTCAGTACATATTTTGTGACCAGGCCGCGTACCTCATTGTGAAGTCGCGTAACGTGTAAAATACTGTATAAGTATTTAATTTGAATTCAATTATTATTATTATTATTATTCATTGCATACTTACAAAAAACTATTCTTAACAGTGAGCGGAGACCGTTCTAGGCTATAGTTTTAAAGATATTGAATTGTATATTTATAATATTAGGTACTATAATGTATTTATTTGTTTATAGTAGTACTAATAATATTTGTAATACGCGGTATTTTGTATGAAATTTTCAATCATTGTTTTCAAATTTAATATCATAATTTATAACACAAATTTAATACACCCGCTCTAGTGGCCAATGTCCCAGTCCTATTAAATTCTTGTATCAACGCTTTTTATTATTATCTCCTATGATTATGGATCAATTAATGTTATTTGTAAAACAAATTCGTCGATGCTCAATAAAATATTTTAACGATAAGCAAAATAAACGATTAATATTTAATTACTAATTTTTAGTAGGTAATTTATATTGTAGACCTGCAAAATTGCTCAAAAGAAAATTCCGATTTATTATGAAAAAAAATTATAAATACCAAATACTTATTATATTATGTGTTACTGATGTATTAATAATAAGTTAATTTAGTTCTTATTATAATCATAGTAATTCGATATTTAAAAGTGCCCATATGTATATTAACGTACCTAAGACCCAAGTAAATACTTAAACAAGTCACAACTACTATTAAGTGTTAGTCAACTCGATGCGATTATTATTCTGAATAATAATATACCAAAATCAATTATAGGTCACTTTGGAGCAGTATTAAACACACAAAGGAAACTATTTACGTTTCTAGTGATAAAAGATCAAAGGTTATTTAAAGATTAGATAAAAATGTTTAATTTACATATCCAGGTTCAAAAAACATTTGATGTTATAAGAGAAACAGTATGAAAATCATTACAGAACAAGATGTGCTCTGCTACGTCTCAGAAGTATGTAAACCACCAACATACGACGCTAAGTCCTCAAAACATGTACGTTGGAGGCAACGGTTTCACTCGTAATTACAACATGTCGCCGTCTATCAAACAATCTGCAATATCTCCTATATCGATACAAATGATAGTTTTAATTTTTTCCGTTTTATTGTGCATATTCAGTTGTCTATTGACTGTTACGTTGTCCTACAAATGGCACATGGACACAAATCAACAAATCAATCGACTTGTGGGTACAGTTGAGGATGCAATTCGTGATTTGAATACCTTCACTGACATAGTTAGAGATGAACTTGTTGCTAAACATGTAAGCAGTACATACAAAGATCAACACAAAGCTAAAATTGATGGTAACGACTATGAAGATGTAGAAGAAGACTATAATGAAGGAGATCGATTTATGGGCAGAGATTTATTGGACAATAATTGGCCAGCAAAGACATATCAGACAAATGAATCCAACAAACCAAAAAACCGTGAACGGCGCAATGCTGTGATTGATGCAACAACAATAGTGAAAAATGAATTAAATAGGTACATTTTTTTTTAAGCACTTACATTATTCTTTAAGGGTAAATATTTTTAATTTGATCTTATTGGTACCTATACAACCAATAGTAATAAAATGTATTTTCCGTAATAACACACTGAATGTAAATCATATGACCAAAATTACCCTGGCATATCAGTCTGGCTTTGGATGTGAAATTTTTTTTTTAATACAATTAGGTATTTAAATCGAAAGACTTTTAACATTAATTTAGTAAAGTTAGTTTTTGGAGGAATAGTAGTAAAAAGAACAGGACAATAGAAAAATTACAGCTAGGTAATTTTATATCAGGCTAGCATTACACTCACATTATAATATTAAGTTAATTATTTACATTCTTTATAGTTTATATGTATCTAATGTAACTACTACAGTTGAGATTAAAACCATTACTCAAAAGATGGATTTAATAAAGTATTAGGTACCTAATTGAATTAAACTAATATTTTAATTTTTAATTAAAGCTCAACAAATGAAAAGGCTGATGTAGAAATAATTCAAGAAGAAAATACAGTGAAGAACTATAGAAGACGGAAATCTAAGAAAATGGGAATCTTAAAAAAAAAACTTTCTATGGAATCAGATGATGAAGAATCGTACGAAGATTTTAAAGAAACCCAAGAAAATGCTGCAGCACATTTTACAAGCGATTCATCAAAATATAGTACCAAGACACATCCACATTACAATGGTAATAATAGTTTTTAAATAAAAGATATAATGTAACTTATAAGGATGTGAATGCATTTTTTTCTCTCTCTGTCCCGCAAGCAATTTAATCAAATTTTAAGCTCACCATAATGGCTATAATCATAATTATTTCTAAAATTAGAATGAAATGACCTCTTATACAATTTAAAAGTGAGATTGTGGTATAGACTTTTTATTGTACTTCAATTTTAAAGCAAATTATGAGTATTTTTAAACTGTAAATTTTTTTTACATCTTAAAATACTATGACTCGCTTTAAAATTAATATAATAAAAATCCTAAGAGATGCCCCGGACAATAATCTTATCTTTAAATTTTAAGAAGTCATTTTGCTCTAATTTAGAAATTGTTAGGATAAATTTGCCAAATTGCGTGTGGGTCAGATAGACAAAAAAAAATGTGCTGACATCCTCTTAAGAAGACGTTGTTCCCACATTTGCTGTCAACATCTTACAAACACAAAATGTACATCGAGCAGTTCCAATTTTGTGTTGTTAACTTAAATATTAAAGTGAATTAATCTCATATCAAACTTTAACTTTCTTATTGGTTTTGTACAATATTTTAATTTTTAAGTTAATTATAAGTAAAATATTAATTAAATTAAAAAATCTCACAGTTCACTTCAAAATTAAAGAGAACACAAATATTGTTGTCCTTACATTAAAGTTTGATAGTAGACTAATTGATTTTAACATTTAAGATAATAATATAAAATTGAAACTGCTGGACGTACATTCTGGTATACTATGCATTAGTAACATGTAGGTATGACATTATTAAAGAAGTATTTTTATTAATTTTAAGCAATTTAAGTAAATAATTCTTTTTCATAGGAAATGGACGTTTGAGACATCCGGATGGTGATTTTAGAGACTGGACCCAATATCTTTGGGACATAAATCTAAACAACGGAAACCATTTCGCAATGAAAAATGGCAAAGTTGAAATATTAAAACCAGGACTTTATTTTGTTTATGCTCAAGTAAGAACATGGTACATATTATTAAACTAGGTTATATACTAACATAGCTGTATAGTACCTATTTTAGGATGGCAATCATATTTTAATAACAGAGGGAGAAATTGTTTTTTAATATAATAATTTATTTATATAATTTCTGTACAAGACTTAATGTAAAAACAAAAAACAATTTTTTCTAATTCTTTTCTTATAAAAATTATTTTCAATTTTCCTTACAGAATATATGAGTAAATATTTAAAGGTCTGTTAATATATTTTCACAATTAATATTGTTCAGAATAATTTAGTTATTATAGTTAAGATTATAAAATAAGTGAATTATAACCAATTAAGTACATTATTATTTTTATTATAGATATACTATTCAGATAAACATGACATCAATGGATACTATGTTATGAAAAATGATGAAAAAATACTTGGTTGTACTTCAACTCGACATCAAGATACCCAATCATCAGATTCATGTTACACTGGAGGTCTAATATATTTCAATTCTAAAGATAACTTATCCATAAGAGGTTTAGATAGTGATCGGTTTATAATTTTGGATCCTGTAAGGAGTTTTTTTGGACTGTTTAGAATTTCAAAAGATGGTAAAAAATAAATAAAAATGTATATTTTGATTGATCAACGAATCATATAATTAAATTTAATAATAATAATACAAACAGTATAAAAATATATGATTAATTTAAAATGTAATAAAAACATAATTTGGTTAAGTTACACAATTGGACGGATTGGTTGCAGGTATTAAATTATTATTTATTACAATATGCACATACAATTTTTAAAAATAGCTACATCTATTTTTATTTGAACACATTTAATACAAGAACTATTATTATAATCTATTATAAACTATTATGACAAAATAGGTTTTGCAATAATTTAAAGATTTATTATTATTATTAATATGATTTGAGATTCCTAATAAAAAAAATTAATATAAAATATATGTATTTGTGAATTATTTGTATATAATTTGTAATTTTATAAAAATGTTATTCATAAAACATTAAAAAATAATATTTAATACTGTTAACATTTAATTAATGAAATTGTTATTTTTGTAAAGGCTATGACCACAATTCATATCAATTCTATGCGCTTTTTTTCACAAGGATAACATTTTATTGATTGGATACTGTTTGACGTAATGAAAATTGTTTCCACGATTTGGATGTCCACATCATTGTGTAAATCATTTCATTATTATTGCAGAATACCATAACTGCATACATCGGTACAAATAATTTTTTTTCTCATATTATTACATTACTAGAATTAATTTAAACTTAATTTAATGGCCTATATACAATGTATAGGGTTTTGATGAATCCTCCAAACATAATATTTGTTATCTATACCAAATAATAATACATTAAAAAAAAATCAACAAGAAATAAAATTATAGTATAACATTTTATTGTTTTAATTAATTTTGATTTTTTGAAAAACATTAAATCAAAATTATTAAATAACGGACAAAAAAATTGTAATTGAAAAGTATTACTTATTCAATACCAATACATTGATATTGAAATTAATTTTCCAGATATAAATAAAAATAAATTAGTTTTAGTAATATTAAAATGATATGTAAAATTAATAATTATTTGTATTGATTAATAAAATGCAATTTGGTATTCTGGAAGTGACGAATAAATTACACAATATGGGCATCAATATCATGAAATGTTATCCATATTTAAAAAAAAAAAAAATGTATTATTCACCATATGGAAACTTTTTGTGAAGTAGATGTGACTTATAATAATAATACCATAAAAAACCATTAATTCTAGAAAATAAAATAAAAATAATCTAAAATATACATATTTATGTTTAAATAAATTTGATCAGACCATAGCAAATTTAAGCAATGTTAGTTTTTCAGAACTAAACGTCCTTACTTTCGAGGTCAACAAATATGTGATGATCAATAGGTAGTATAATTAAATTGTGGAATTCATTATAGTACCTATGATCAGTTTATAAAAAAAAATATGTATAAAATAATGAATAATAATTATAACATTGAAAATGTATGTAATATAAGTAACCTACTAATATATCAGATTATTTTGGTAGTGTTAATGTCTTAAGATAATAGATTTCTAAACCATGGCAAAAAAGATAAACCTATCAAATATGCAAACAACTTAACTTGGCTGGAACTATTACAGCCATCAGAATCACAAGTATAAACACATGTTCGATATTCTAATACATCACCTGGCCGTTGAACATAATCGCAGTAATTTCCTAAATTATAAGATGAACAGTAACGTGTAACTCCAAGTCCTCCTATAATAAATAAAATTTACAATAAATTATGGAATAATACTATTGGACATATCCAAAAATTATAATAATAACATAGGTACCTTCATAGCGGCCTATCAGTTTCACACAATAAGCAGCATTATAAACACTTGTACAGGGTTGGGGGTCTAGGCCGTATGTATCCATGAACTCTGTACAACGAAATTGATCATTGATGTCGGTACTGTTGCATTGGTAACATGATATACTTAAAGCTGAACAACATAAATAAAAAACTGTTATTTTGCCTAAAACCACACCTTAAAATTCAATATAATATTTACCAGATCTTATGTTGGAAATAAAAGCTATGAGAACTATTAATAAAAATGTATTTGAGTAAACCATTGTTTTCAAATAAATATGTAATACAAAAGTATGAGTTATAGAGTATAAGTTGAACTCAATGTAAACAGTTTTGAAATGTAAAAAAACAAAATTTAAAATCGATAATATATTTTTTAGGTTCGATTTCACCAACAACCCTTTAATATAGGTACTATCAAAAGAAAAAGTCTAAAACTATATACCTATTCCCTATGTACGATGAAATAGAAGAATGTGTATAGATTCAAACAGGTTGTATGGGTGTATGTAAAAATAAAACTAAATAACAAAAACAAAATTCCCAATGCCCATACAATTGATGAAAAACAATAACTGAATAACTGAATAACCAACACTAATTACTCTATGATAAGGTCATGGAAGAAACGACCGAATCCATTGAAAGAATAGTCGATTAAAAATCAGCTGCTCAACTTAATAACACACAATAAAGTTGAATCCACCTCATAGAAAAGTTATTATAAATACCTTGAACATAATATTATTATTTTTCCTATTAGTTAATAGTTATTTATTTATTTACATGTTTCTAATGATACCTGTGAAATTATGTTTATTGTTTAATAATTTAATATTATTATCTCATTAGTAATTGTATATTTGTATGTCTGTACTCAATCGTACATTGAAGCTCTCGTGATTCGGGATCCACATATTTGATATTAAATATTTCAGATCACGGTGGAAGAAAGTTATGAAATGTGAACGATATTGAGATATAACTCATCAACTGTATAATCATAAATGCCGTCTTAGGATGCATACAGCATAGTCAGTTACGTATTTAACTGTTTTCGTGCACAGCTGTTGTAAGTTTTCACAAAAATAGGTAAATTTCATTGTTTAACCTCATTGACTTTCCATGAAGCACAATAGAATTATCTAAAGACTAAGATGAGCAGCTTTACCGAAGACTACCTACCCGAAGTACAGCCGGGTGTGTTTACTCATAACTCGTACACAATTTTGAGCAATTTTGAGTCTGCTAATCTTGCTCGTGTGAAATATATCTCCAAAAAGATTCCTGGCCTTGGTGCGATTACTATTATTAAACTATTTATCTTGTGAGTGTATGCTAAGATTATGTAATGTGTAATATTGTAGATGAAGATTTGGAATTTTATTTATGGACAAACCCAGACTGTGGTGGCACAGAGTTTGAATGCAACTACAAGTCATGGTTCTATTTTGCCTTAAAAGGTAAAAGTGCATTCACGTAAAATAATGAAAAAGTTAAGGATTTTTAATCAAATCACTATTTTAAAGGAGGTATTCCTGGTATGCATGTAAGATTAAACATAATGAGTTCAAATAATCAAAGTAAAATGTATAGTCAAGGCATGACTCCCGTGTTTAAAGTTGATTTAGGAAAATCAGATAAATCAAATGAAAAGTTTTGTAAAGCATCCTGGTCAAGGATAAAAGAAATACCAACTTATCAGGTATTTAATTAATACATGTATATAAATAATGTATTCATTGGTCCATTGCATATGAACTACACAATAACGTGTAGTATGTATGATTTAAATTATAAGAAGTGAATGGATCCAACTTGAGTTTGATGAGTTTTTTTAGATAAACCGTAATCAAGAATTTGAGTTGAGTTTTAGTCACCGTTCTTTGAAAAACATTGAAGCTACAACATATTATGCTTTTACTTATCCCTACACTTACACTGAGTTGTGTAACAGCTTAAGTTTTTATGAAAAACAATTTCCATTACCGTCAGACTTAAGAGGTATTTGGTTTTCCCTTTAATAATTATTTTATTGCATGCAGATGTGTGTGTATTTAATAGGATTTTGTTTTTAAATACCATTTAGAAAACAATGAGAAGGATGTTTATTTTTATAGAGAAACTATAGTAAAATCCTTGGAAAATCGTTCTGTGGATTTATTAACTATTAGTTCCTTTAAAGGTATTTCAGAAGAAAGGGAATGCCGTTTATTTGGATTATTTCCAGATGAAAAACCTAGGTCACATGTTTTCAAAAATAAAAAGGTATATAAATAATATAAAAACACATTTTAGGTAAACTGATTTGATTTAAATATTTTATTAACTTTTTAACGTTAAATTTTCTCCATGTAATATCTGCCTATATGATAAAATTAAAATAATGGCTATAAACGGTTAAATTTATATTAATACAAATTAAATGAATGAATTAAAATTATCATACTTTATTTGTTTTAAAAATTAATTTGTAGGTCATAGTAATGAGTGCTAGAGTGCATCCAGGTGAAACGCCTTCTAGTTTTGTGATGAATGGTTTGATAAAATATTTAATTAGTAAAGATGAACAAGCTGATATACTACGTCAAAATTATGTGTTCAAACTAATTCCTATGCTAAATCCAGATGGAGTAGCTCGAGGATTTTATCGTACAGATACTAGAGGTTGTAATCTCAACCGGTTTTATCTAAAACCATCTTTGAAACTTCATCCATCTATTTATGCTGCCAGGTTTTTTAACTTGTTTACTTTTCTATATTAAAATTGTGTTCAATGAATTTAATCTGTGATAAATTTTATAGATCATTGATCTTGTATCATCACCTTGGATATGAATTACGAGATGAGTTAATCGAAGAAAATTCAACATCAATTTTTTGTAGTTCATCCAATAATGATGATGAATTAAATACTAAAATGAAACCAACAATTTTAAATAATGATGTAGATTCTTTGAATGTCTTATTAAAGAAGTGTGAATCGTGTACAGCTGATAGTCTTACAAATAAAGGCCTTGACTCGGGATTATATTTATATGTCGATTTTCATGGCCATGCATCCAAAAAAGGTTAACAATTTTTAAAGTAGCTTAAATTGTTATGCTCAACAACATTTATTACCTATGTTTAATCTTTGTGTTTTATACTAGGGATATTTATGTATGGAAATAATTTTGACAACATAGCTGATAACATTGAATGTATGGTTTATCCTACGCTTATGACTATAAACAATCAAAACTTTCATTACACTTCTTGTAATTTCAGCAAGCATAATATGTATTCTAAGTAAGGAATTAAATTATTATACTCCAGTTTAAATCATAAATAAATGTAAGCTAAAATAATATATTTGATATGTATAATGTATACAAAGTAATCAGAAATTTTGTTTTACTCCAGTAATAGGAATTGCACAAAAGTTGAATAGATCACCACTATTTAAACAAGTCTTAAAAAAATTTGAATGATTAAAACCAAAATGAGAAAAAAATTTAAACTATTAAATTATACTGATAGAGTTAATTATAATAATAAATATTAGCATAATACTTACATTATTTCCATTAACTTCTATTATTTTATTTTTCTTGTGGATGAGACTGACAATCACTGTTGGTGAATTTTTTTCTAAGTGTTATTTTGATTCATAGTTTAACATTGAATGAATGAGGGGGGACTGGGGAAGGTCAAAAATTCCCAATAGTTAAAAACTGTATGTGAAAACAAAAAGTTGTTATGATGAACAGTAGCTGTCAGAATGTATGTAACTCTAATGAGTAGGTAATTCTATTAAAAATGTTTAAAAAAATTGAATTGAATAACAAATTATTGCCTACAAAGATTATTCTAAATGGAAGTTTCATTAATAAGTATATTTTATTATATTATAATTTACATTTATATTTCTACTACAGTAATTTATCGTAAAATTTATATTTATATTTCCACTACAGTAACTTATTGTAAAATTTATACCAATAGATCCATGGTATAAATATGCAATAGCTTAAAACTAATCAAAATTTATTTTAAAAATGCTCTGTATGATTAAAAATAAAAAGGTATGCAATGCTTTTGTGTACATTTGGTTTTTGATGTCAAATGAAAAACACCCGTGGAAATAGAAACCAGGGGGTGGGGGGGCTTTTCGAAGTCAAAAATCTCAAATAACACAGCACATTAAATTTTTTTGTTTTTACAAGTGATAAAACAATTAATTTTAACTAAAATAGCAAGGGGCATGGCCCACGACACCTTCTTGCAGGCACCCATGAGTGAGACACTGAAATGGATGTTTTAAATTTGAATTTAATGATTTTAAAATCATTGTATACAAGAAACAATTATGAGCAAAGATGGTTTATTATTTTATATTACTATGTATGTCTTATTATTGCTATTCAAGTAATTAATTTTATTATTAGTAAATAAAATAATATAATAAGTTGAATTAATTTTTGGCGAAAGAATTGTGTGTTTAAATTATAGTACTTAATGTATACTAAATATTATATACTTTAAAAGTTTCAAGTATCCATGAATAATATTTTTAAATTACAACAACATTTTTACTGTTTGTTTTTATACCTAATTCTGTCCTTATTTAAACTTAAAATTTATAATTAAAAAAACTTTGTTTTCCTATATATTTTTAATATTTTTGGTAACAGCATAAACTACTAATGAAAAATCTTGTAATATAGGATTTTATTGTTTTATTTTGAGTGGATGTGAAACAAATAATACCAAAATGTATGTATAATGAAAATTTAAAAACATTTTACATTGAGAAACTATTGAGAAATCTAAAATGAACCTTGTACAATATTTGGATAAATCATAAATACATTTTTTATAAATTGTAAATTTTTGTCATTATTAATGTAGTATGTCACTTAATAACTAGTGCAAACTTTATAACTATGATCTTCATAAGATTTGTGATTTAATGTAGGTACTGGAGACAGAATAATTAGGCACATAATAGTTGTATAAATATTATAATTAAACTTAATATTTAACTAATGAAAAATAACTCCCTATTAAGCTGCTACAATTTATACAATTTGATTAGATTATAAAAATATGTAATTTTGTTTTCGTTGTGCAATTGAGAAATTGTAGGTAGTAATTAAATTTTTAATTTTTAGGGATAAGAAATTTGGTCTGAGCAAAGAAGGAAGCGGTCGAGTAGCTGTTCTTAAATATACAGGTCTCATACGTAGTTACACTTTAGAATGTAACTACAATACTGGCAGATTTGTTAACTATATTCCTCCTAAAGTAAATTTTGTTTCTGAAAGAAGACCTATCCAGAATGTTATTCCTCCAAAATTTACACCAACGGTTTTCGAGCAGGTTAAAAAAACTACCATGTAATAAAGTTTCATCAATAATATTTTATTGCTTCTATTTTTATAGGTTGGAAAATCATTGGCAATTTCGATTTTGGATTTATCAAATTTAAATCCCAACAGTCGGTTAGATAGCAGTGAATTTAAATCATTAGCAGGATTAAGGGAGGTGTTACGTTCAAATATTATTGATTGTAGCCGTAATCGAAGATTAGGATCAAAATCTACCAGCAACATAAACGTTGATACACCAATGACATCAAAACAAGTAAATTTAGTATTTTATTATAATTTAAAATGTTATTCTTTTTATATGCTCTTAGAAAAGCATCCATTCCAAGCTTTTTTTTTTAGTTTTTAAACTTGAAAAAGAGAACTTAATGGCTCTTTAGGTTGAAAGATGTTCTCAACTATTTCCAACATTTGTGTATAAATAATGGAAATTAGCCTATAAGTAAGAATATACAATTCTATATATAGTTTTTCATTGTGGCTCTTGGTGATATTTATTTATTTATGACTTGCTTACAAATATTTAGCTTTGCTTGGTAGTAATTTTGTGTTTTAAATCAAAATATCAGTATTATATGCAATTTTATATAAAACAATTGTAATTGACATAATTTAATTTTTATTGTTTACTGATAACAAATTAACTAAATACAACTTGCTATCAAATATTAGATTGATGTTTTATTCATTTAGATAGATATAGTTTTTCTAGATATTTTAATAATTACTACATTTATTCCAGATAAAGAAATCTTCAATATCATATGATCTGATGAATCCGACTTCATCCAAATTAATGCAACCTATTATGACTATTGCTGTAGCACCAAAAAGCAAATCAGTCCCACTTCGTAAAGCAATTAAAAAAAGTGGAATATTAAAAAAAAAACAAAAAAAACGGAAGATGACACCAAGCAAACAAAAAGCTGTTGCAAATACTGCAGATAATATACTATTTTCCATACATAATTGTCCCTAGTATAAAACATAAAAGTTAACAATATACATTATTTCTTTAAAAAACAAATTAGGAAACTTAAAAAGTTGTTAACCTTTTTTGGATGCACAGCCATAAAAATCAACATATAAATATTATAATCCTTAATTAAGGCCTAATTGGACATGGTTGACTCTTCTTTAGAAAGACATTTAAAAAATCTAAATTATTATTTAAAATTGTTGGTTTCATTTTAGTTTATTCTCCATAATATACAATACAATATTGTTACAAACAAGTATTTTATTTTAGTAATTAATTTAACATCATTATCTGATGAACTTAAAAAAGTTGACATTGTTGAATTCGTTGTGTTCAATACATTTTGAATTCTTCTATTGGGTCACCTTGTAATTCATATCCAATGTGATAATACATGATCTAATACAATGATTTACAGTACTATAATAGTATTTAGAAAAAATTGATTTTACACCATTGCGCAATTTAAGTGAATTGTGGAAAAATTAATATATACCCAATTGATTTCCTGAGAATAACATTAATTGTTATGAATTGTTTTTTTTTCATTTAAGTAGACTACTACTTACGAAATAGACTACTCTTTATGTATTAATTATTATTTTGTGTTAGTATAAATCATATATATATATATATCAAGAACTAATATAATTAGGTGCTATGCTAAATAACAATCTATTTAAATTTATTTAACATTTTCTCCAAAATCCTAATTTTTTTTTCATTCTTAAAAGTTTCTTAAAGACTGTTAGTTTATTATTTAATAATTTAATCTTGTTGTTTTTATTTATTGTTTTTATAAGTTTTGAAGTAAAAGAACGATGTTAGTGTTGATTTAACTGTATAGACATATTGTATATGATTGGTTTGTTATATTACAGATTATTTAAATAAATTAAAGGAATAATATAATGACATTGTTTATGTTTGTTTTTAGATTCTTTTGTAAGCTTATGTTAATTCCATACATTCTTTTGTGAATTATTTGGAAATGAGTATTTTACATGCTTTTTCAAAGTATCTTAATTTAAAGTCAAATACTTATTCTTTATAGTTAATATATTTTCTGTTTCAATTTTGATCATGTAAAAAAAAACATTGAGTATATTTTTTTACTGTGAACTATGCACTACCGAAAATTCAAATACTTCGACAAAAAATAAAAATAAATGAATATTTTAAAGCTCCATCAAATAATAGTGTAAAATGCACATTTTTGAGCTTTGGAAACAAGATTATATGGCAGGGGTGGTGGGAAGAATGGGGTATTTCACACCCTCTTTCGCGCATCATAGTTGCACTGTGTTTTCCACTGTAGTGTAGTATCTAGTAGATGTCTGTATTGATATTGTAAATTATTTTATACTTTGGTCTCTCTTCAACACTAAGCACTGGATCCGCCAATGCTATGAGGCATGAATATAATAAGAAATAAGTATACATCTTAACATTTGTGATAGTTTAATTGGAGGGAGGAAAACTCTATCATATCTTTAGTCCTATCCTGCACTAGAATACGTTCCAACTAATAATGATATTTTTTATGTACCAACGCAATTAATGGCATAAAACATATTTTATTGGTTTTTTTAAAAATGGCATAGTAGCTCATGTGACCTCAACCAACAATATTATTCAGCCAAAATATAGCTCTGATACTATTCAAATTTCAATCTTTTTGACCATACAAAGACATTTATAAATGTATATGAAGAGAAATCTAAACGAAATCCGAATTGTCAAATGTATACCTAAAAATAAATAGATCAAAAAATTAACATATTTTGAAAATGTTATCATGTACAGAAAATGCTAATTTAAACATTTGATGAAAAAATGAAGTATCTACGACTTCATTTTTGAGTTACACCAAAAAAACAATATCAATTCTGTCTAAAACTGAGTATGCGTAAAAAATAATTTACTTTTGAGTTTATATTTAGTAATGTAGTATATTATATACTATATAGATAGGTTTCTTGTATTTAATTATCAAAAAACAATGTTGTAATCATACAATAATTATGATGTACTAACACTGACAACACTGTCAACAATCCTTGTTTTTAACCTCAACGCGCATGCGTCAGATACCTGAACCTGTTTTGTTTGTCGGCGTTTCAATTTTTCAGCAGGTGAATCAGTTCACTTGTTTTCGTACGTGGTGGCTAGGTTCTCCGAGCTGGTTGTTACATGTTAGTGCGTTCAATGCTGGTGTCTTCCGCTGCTGTATAAAACAGTATTTAATTAAAATTATTATATACTTGCGTGATTTTTAAGTAGTTAAATCGAACATTTTTAATATTTTTCGTTGCTGTGATGTATAAAAAGCCTTTTTATTGAATATTAATATATTGCAGAACAACATCAATAGGTATCTATGTCAGAAGTATTCTAGACTTTAATTTTGGTGAGTACTTACCTATCCTATTTAATTCAATAAATTATGTTTATTATTTTGTTAGTCATTTTAAATTTTTTAATTAGGATAGGTGTAATGTAATACATAGTTCCATTGCATCAGTTCAACTTACAACTATAGTTGTTTTGCATATTATCTTCCTAGTTACATTTTGTTTATATAGATATTAAATTATTTCAATTGGTAGTAGCTTTGTATTTAAAACCTATCTAGTTTGAACTATTGTCATTATTAAAACTGTTTTCTACAGTGCTTGGTAAGTTCCTCTAAAAAAAGGAATTAGTTCGCGTCCACATTCATCTTGTTAACAAGGAACTAAATCAATTCCAGTTCTCGTTACTAAATAAAGTAAAGTTTTTGTTCCTCAAAAATTTTAAAATTGTAGTAATATAATATGTAGTATTAAATTGTTTAATTATATAGTAGTTTTGTTTTCAAAATGTTAAATTTGTTTATTTCGTACAAGTTAATACCGATATGACCTATAACCACCATGACTGACTTGACATTTTATAAACATTGTCAATATTATCATTGATTGTCGTACATAGTTTTAATTAAATAGCTTATAACAATATTGACATCATTATTGCTAAATTTCTAAAAAAAATATAAAAATTTTTTCCATAAAATTATTTAAATTCCTTAGGTACCTATATTTAACCATATATTAAAAAAAAGAAAGAGCAAATAAACCTTTCATATCTCTCTCAAAAATGAACAAATTTCAAATATTATGTTCCATTGCACAAAAAAAGGAATTACCTTTGTTCCCATTGAGTTCCTGAAATTTGAACAAAATGGAACGAGTTTCTTTCAAGCATTGGTTTATAAAATTAAAAATCCCAGGAATTTGACATGATTTAAAATTTAAGCTAGCTTAAATATTTTTATGATCAAAGATCAGAATATAAGTAATTTATATATTTCTTTGTAAGCTGCATATTATTCAAAAACTGATGGTGCAGAAATTTGTTTAATATTTATAAATTCATAATAGGTACATACCTACTTACAACTCAAATCCAAAGATGTGTGTTGTGCATTTTTGTATATATTTTCCAAATGTATGTGATGATGTTTATTTAAAGACTCTATCATATTATTATGCGATACATATTTTATTAATAGATGAAAAAAAACCAAATTTCAATTACCTATAAAAGAAATCTCATTTGCTTTTTAGCGTGGGAAGTTGTATGTTGATTATAAGTAATGATATCTTCTTCTTCTTCTTCTTAACTGCTTAGCGGTCCATGTAGGTCCATCGATGCCACCATTAATGATATAATTAATATAATACCTTTATTTTTAAGTCATAGCTAAAATTATTATTATGAAGAGGTGTTCAAAATAATTCAATATATTTGTTATTATGTTAGTACAAAATTGGCTTATAAAATTTTTAGTAAATGCAATATAACATTTGATTTCCTGTCATCGGCAGATAACATTCTTAACATTACTTTCAAATATTACACATTTTATAAATCATTCTCTTATCTAATTCATCATTATTTTTCCTTAAAGTCATGTAAATAATTATATTTATTATTTATGATTATAATTTAAAAATCTCATTAGTATTTACTAATTATGAGAGTCAAGTTTGGTCGAGTTTTTAGCTTGTACTATACCTAGTTGGACTCTGAGTAGGACAAGTGTTTCTCGGGTTTTATTTTTATATTATAATGTGATTTTTTTCAAAACTTGGTTTGTGTTTATTCAATTAAAAACGGGTTCAAATTTTTTTTTACTGTTGGTAATTAAACACAAAATATCCACTTAACACAATAAATTCTTCAAATTTTCCAAATTGGTGAGAAAATTATGTGAACAGCATACTTGTTTGTAAAAAAAATGTTTATTGTTATTTATTTCTGAGTAGAACAATCCTATTGAAAAAAGTTTTTCTGTTTTCGAATATATTTATACATTGATTTTTCATATTCATACAATACCTACTACACTGATGTGATCCTTGTGAGTTGACTGTGGTGAGTATCCAACACCCACTACCCAGACTATGTATCCTGTTTATATACCATTTTTATTTTAATGCCCACAAGTATTTTTTTATACATTTTTAAATATTAATTAAGTACCCATAATATTTTTTAGGGAAATGTTTGAAATTATACCTACTCAAAAATCAAAACTCCAAACATAATAATAATTTTCAAATATGTTGTGGTTAACACTATGTGCATTACAGAAATATTACCTATTACAATTTGTTTCTACAATAATTTATGACTTTCGTATAGAAATAGAAATATATTTTATATAGACATAAAATGGACATTAATGTATAGTAGGTAGGAATCCTTAGATCGTTGTGTGTTTATTATAATATTACAATATTTAATTCGTTAATTTTGAGTGGTATACGTAAATAGAGAAGACGCTATAATTAGGGTACTAATCAAATGTAATTAATAATCATTATTATAGATTTTATTATTTTTGGGAATAATAAACATTATCTTGTGTAGATAATTTAAGTTTGATTTTTATACATTTATAGTTAATACAATATTATTAGATCCTGTTACTTTGATAGTTTATACTGTTAACGATTTGTATTGCATATTATTGAATTATTCGTGTAGCTTTAAACATACGCCTTTAATAGCGTTGTTATAGTTACAAAACCGATTTTATGTTCATGTTAATTATGTACCTCGAGGTATTAAGTATTCCTATGCTATATAATCAGTGATTTTTTTTTTAAATTACAAAGTGATTCATGCTATCAAAAAATGTGTTTTTCCATCCTTATATGTTGTGTGGGAACGGCTATTGTGTTATATTATTAAAATATTGGGTCCATTGTTGTGTGCCTAGCAGCCACAATACGCATTAAAACATCGGACAGCTGTGTTTAATCATGATTCACATACCTGTCTCTTATATCTCCCATCATATCTTCGCTTGTTCATCCTGTATACGTCTTACGTGTTCAGAAAATTTGAAAGGAAAAAAATTGACACATTTTATAGTTTAGTGCTTATATTTCATAATTCATTTCTATGTTTTTACTAAAGGAAAATAAATTTCTTTAATTGGTTTATACTGTATAATGGTATTTTTATATTTAATTATATTTTACATAATGTTGTGTGGTACCTACAAAAATTAAAAATGATAATGCGTGACTATAATATGCATGTAAAACAAACAAACAGTACCTATGTATTACTTGGTACATTATATTTTATTTTATTATACTATTGGGTTTTTATATTATTCTAGCATTATATACAATTATAACTTTTAAAAATATTCCTTTTATTATTTAAACATTTTAAACGTTGTTTTATGTAGTTAAAATTGAAATACTACGGACGCAAACGTAGGTAACACCGTCCGTTTTATGTGGGCGAACAGATTTATGTGCGTGTAGCTCAGACATAATGCATAGTGAACCCACTATTTTATTGTTCTTTGTATCATCACGAACTACATTGGTATTAAACGGAAAGAGTAATACGAAAATAAATCTGTATTGAGATAATATTTGTGTAGTTAAAAGGACATGTTAGATGACAGGTAAGCGGCACAGAAGGCCGAAACATTCCAGTAGCGCTCATTGTTGATCCGAAATTATTTTCACGTAACAAAGAATAAAAAAAAATGTACCTACAAATCGTTATTGTGTTTCATGCATTTTAAGCCCCATGAATTCCGACATTTCAACAATATTTTGCTTTTGACCCACTAAACTGTGTAATGTATTTGAAAAATATAAAATGGCACACAATAGTGTTATACTCAACGAGCCTATAGTTGTTTTGTACCCTTATGTGTAAATTACATGGTGATTGTGTCTGGTTTGTCAGATGTTATACTTGTTTCTCACAAGGTAGGTACAGCCGTGCAGGCCCTTAGGTTATACGCCTACTGCCTTTAATAACACCGTATAATCACATTTCGGTGCAAAATGTTACACTTATTATGTTATCGGCTAATCACTTTATTCCCGCCCTTGTCCGTACAGCAACATTATACATACTGTTCAACCGAATTTTTCTCCGTAACGAATAACGATATGTTCTTTGTTTGAGTTCCAAAGAAATGAAACCTATTCAATTCGAGATTATCAAAGGGTTTGTTGTTAGAAGAAAAATAACCAGCATAAACGATAAGTTATTATGTTTTTTTTTCAACACCGCTACGCCGTGTTTGTTAGATCCTATTAACGACTGACTTGTTCGGGTCCATAGAATTGTTATTTATAAAACTGTAATGTAACTAGATGTGCACAATATTTAATTCTATCTTTGTTGAAAAGTGCTCGTCATGTATTTCGAAATCTCTGTAAACATGTGGATAAATGAAAACTCAACATAATTAAAAAAAATTCTTGGGCCCGACCCGTTCTTGTTTCGATTAAAATATATTTGTAAACCAAAAACTCGTTTGGTGTTTCATCAATGGGTGAAAAAAATCATTCTTAAATCAAAAAACACCAAGTAGTGAAACAGTGCTGAGTGATATCAATCGTAACGAGTTTGGTACTTGGTTATCTAAGACGGGATGTACATGATATCCTTATATTAGTCACTTACGTCAGTAGGTAGGTACTTAGTACTTTACCGAAACGTTAAGAAACACCTTAATGTGTGTGTAATAATCTATAATACATCAAAAATAAATCACCTTCTGCCTGTAATTGTAACCCATCAGATTTGATTGATCGTTGTTTCTTGCTTATAGGATCAGATTTCCACTGCTCCTTTTTACCGTATTCAAAGTGTATAATTTGCCGGTTGGGCTTATATACAAAAAAACATTATATTCGTCTATAAGTATACTGTACGATAATATAACCGGTTCGGGAATATTTTATAGAGGCATCGAATTTGTATAACAAGCATCAGAAAATTCGCATGGATATACACGAAGAAAAGAAAAACATTTTCGTTAGCTATATTATCAAAAGAGGGACTGGTTTCCTTTTAAGTATACCGATTGTATGTTTTTTTTAAACAATTAAAGCGGAATTTTTTTGTGCTCTACTCGTTCCTATTTTTTCATTACAGCAACTGCTTATTGTGTATTATTACTTAGATCCTCGGATACCATAGTAATTAGTATTTGTTGGACTTTTCAATGATTACCAACTAATTTATTTGCTGGTATTTTTTAAATTTATTAAATGTATTGAAATGATAACACATCGCTAAACAATTAATAATTATCTTAAGCCATTTTGCACTTAATTTAATTTAACAATCCCTGTAGAACATAAGTATAACTGTATGCATTTTTTATATTATTTATTTTTAATTAAACCTTACCTAATTATTTACTACTACAGCATGCGATGAATTTTTATATTTTCTACAAAATACAGATACGTCTTAAGAGGACGTCATACCAAAGGTGAAATGTATACAAAGGTCAAGAAATATAGCGTTGTGCACCGTATCCGCCGCGAATGAGATTTCGAAAATATTAATTTCTATTAGGTACTATTACAGTTAAACAATCGTTATTCGTTAATAAATGTAAAATGCACTCGGAAGAATTCGTATTTGCATTTATTCACTTTTATTAATAGGTACCTATTATTGATATTCTATCCATAGAAAATACTTCTTCAAACAATGCAGGTTTTGAAGGAATAATATATATAATAAACAAACCTACTAGCAGCATCTACAACAGTAGTAGTAGCAGCAGCAGGTTCGGGTTGGGGAAGATTCAGCATTCCAGGTCGGTTGTTGTATCTTGTGGATGGTTTTGTTCCACACCAGTTCAGGTGCGTTCATCCAAAGACAAAACATATACGCTGCATTCTCTTATTGGATCTTCACAACTAATACATTAGGTACTCATATATAGGTTGTTTTTATTTTAATTCATTCATTCGGTTGAATATTCTTGTCAAAAAAATTGTTTCAGAAATACTTTTATACGAAATTTGGTTTACAACGTTCTATTCGATTTAACATTCTGCAGTATATTGCTGAATGTACCTATCTGGTTTCCTTGTAATAACGCACCTTAAAACTGCATTGAATTGTACATAATAATATGAGCGTCAGTGTTTAGCGTACTCTGTGCATGCATATAGATATATTTATGTGTCCAACCAAAAACAACCGTAAAATGATTCTTAGTTTTTAAGTTAAAAATATGCTCGACTATTATTTATGATTAACTAGTATTTATATTGTATTATTGTGAAGTTTGATTTAAAATAGACGTAGGTGAATACAGAGGATTAGTTATCCAAAATGCAATTTATTTTTTAATGGTTTATTTTTTTATACGTAGGTATGTGTAATATATATACACTCACATTTATACATCTATAATATAGGTATGTATAATCATTCCATCCAGACGGCACAATATGCAGACCAACACGTCTTTTTTACGTCCGCTTCATCTTGCATGTCCTTGTTTCCACTCTGTGCACATTTTACTAACCAAACCAGACACATAAATATCGTCTTAGAATATTATTATTCTAACGTATTTCTGTACATGTTTTTATCAGTTACAAACACCGTGTTTATATTTGATGTTTACAAAGTTATCGATACTCGAACATTGCTTATATCGTATGTATAAATTATACACTTATGTATATTATACAAACACATATACAAATATGAACATGTTGACATTGCATTATATTATTATTATTATTATTATTATTCCTGGATCTGTAATCTGTATACGATATTACAATACACTATTTAGTCAAAACCTCTACACCGGCATTTTTACAATTACAATGTCAATACTCAATAATCTTGCATAATAAAGTATATTAATAATTAACTCACCAAAGTGTGAGTGATTGTCGTTGTGAATGTTGAATAAATTAAAATCCAACCTAACCTATATATTTTAATAATTTAATATTGTGTGAATTATAGTAAATAGTAACGAAGATGTTATGTTTATTATAGGTAGTTTGAATATGACGTCTTTAATATTCAATTTTATAATACAAGTAATTAAACGTTAAAAGTATTTAAATAATATTACAAACCGAAATGAATTATAAAAAAATGTGTTGTTTTAGTTTCTTATTAAAACAAAAGATACTATAGCCGGTGTTGGTGAGTTGCGGCCTAATCCCTAAATAGCGTACGAGTTGTGGCCCAGGTTTATGATAGGTACGTACGAATCGTGGCCATACAATAATGTATATATTACATATATATATTATATACTTTATGTCCATGTGTAGTATATAAACATCACAATATTACGTATTTTCTAGTATAAATTGTCGTACTTATATTAATATTTGTCTTAAAAAAAAATAAGTAATAAAAAATAAAAGTATTGGTATAATACAATAATCATAATAATGTCGAAAAATTAGAAGTATTCATATATAAATAAAAAAATGTTGTGTTATATAAATACAAATTTGACTATTGTTTTGACAAAAACTTAAAAATTATTTCTTTTAAATTAACGTTTATCTTAACGAGTTAACGAAAACATATGAGTAACTTTTAACTCAACTTAACTTTATTATTTTAAAATAATTAAACTTATCGAGTTAAAAAAAATCGTTAGCTTGACCAGCCTTGGTAATAGGTATAAACATATATTATAGGTAAGGTACATAGATAATGATAATTACTCGGGCCGCTCTATACCTAAAATATTATCGGGCCGGAATTCACCGGTCTCCAACACCGGAAACGGCAAGTCGGGCCGCAACTCACCCACAGCCACTATAGCATACCAATCTTTTAATACCTATAAGTTTTGACTATACCTTTTGTCTGGTCTCTATAGATTTATTAATCTATGAACCTAAATTGGTGTAAAATTGGAGTTTTTTCAATTTATAAATGTATTGTTCCTAAAATATTTTTTATTTATAATAATGTAACATTCTAAAAAAGTTCGTTATAGGTCGTATAACGTTCTCTATATTTCCCTTTTGTTAAAATTTTACAAATTAAAATGTTTTTGGATAGCTATTGATGTAGCGGGTCCTATGAAACTGGCCAAAAATAGTGTATTTGTAGAGACTTGAGTTAAATCTCTCTGTTCATTCTAGGAATTTATATTCATGTCACTTTACAGTTTCCAATAAATAAAATAATTTTACTTGGTATGTGTAAACTTGAAAAATAGTTGTAAACATTCTAAAATACCAACATTTCATTTACTAAATTAATAAATGTCGATGTTTATACTAAATTATAAAACGACGTGCAATTAAAATACTTTGATAAGCCATAACTCATAAGGTACCTAGTACCCGTAATATTTATTAAATTTATTAGTTACCATCTATTATTACTAACTTGTTAGTTTGTAACCCGCAGTATATAATTTATATTTTAATTATTAAGGTTGCTTAGGCTATATGAGCTAGTATACGATTAAAATATAAAAAAAAAGTAATTACTTTGGAAGAATTAAAATGTAGTGATTCAAGTTCAGAAACACCCAATTTATCCTCAATGAAAGTATTTTAATTAAATGTGATTTTCTTATAGCATTATATAGAAAATAAACTGTTACTTGTTTTTATTTCACAATAGCTGTATACGTTGCCAATGACAAATTAAATAATGCCAGTAAATTTACCCTGTCTCCATTAAATGTAAACTGCATGAATTTTTCACAGTAATTTTGGTGGGTTTGGCCAAATATAAAATATAGGTCTAAAATGATATAAAATTATAATACCTATTAAATTTTGTTGCTACGATTGCAAACGCTTTTTCGAACGAAAATGTCGAATCTAGGAAAAAAAGACCAAGGAAAAAAAGAACACGGAAAAAAAGAACAAGTAAAAAAGAACAAAGGAAAAAAAGAACAACTTTTAGAAATTTTAAACAGTGTCCCACTAATCAATATTTTTTAAAACAAAAATTTTAATATAATGCACAGACACTTATGCTATATTTTTGGTATTATTTATAATAAAAAAATACGAAACATAAATGCAATAAAGCTTAGTATAATAATATAGAGTAAGATACATTTTTATTACTGGAAATGCCCTAAGTAATCCTAGTGCCCTTATAGTTGACTATTATAGGTGACCTTTTCATACTTTAGAGCTATAATTTGAGTGAACATATTTTAGTCTATTGACAGTCATTGAAGTGTTCAAGTGTTTTCATTAAATTTTTATACTTCAATTTTTTAAATACATTTGAAATGGAAATTGTTATGAAAGCAGTATCAAAAATGAAATTAATGGCTATGACATCCTGTACAAATCCAGTCGAGATTTATGCTCGAGGTGTCTCCGAGTTCGATGAAAGTTCTAAATCAAAAATTTATGTTTCGTATTTTTTTATAATAAATAATAATAATAATAATAATAAATAATACCAAAAATATAGCAAAAGTGTCTATGCATTATATTAAAATTTTTTTTTTAAAGAATATTGATTAGTGGGACACTGTTTAAATTTTTTTAAAATTGTTCTTTTTTCCGTGTTCTTTTTTTCCTTTGTTCTTTTTTTCCGTGTTCTTTTTTACTTGTTCTTTTTTTCCGTGTTCTTTTTTTCCTTGGTCTTTTTTACCGATTACCAAAATGTCAATTTAAATTGTTCATATAGTTGAAAACACTAAAGTGTCTAAAACCCTGGAAAATAATTAATGACGATTAGAATCATATTACTTCCACTAAAGAATAAACCTTTTTTTAGGTTAAAGTGTTTTTAATAGTGTGTAAAATTATGTGATTTATATGCATAGTTATGGAATTATCCAAGTATCCTACACTGTGGCGTACCCAGGGAGGGTCTAAGGGAGCTTCAGTCTTCTCTATTGGCCGTGTTATGGTATGCATATTATTTAACAAAAGACAAGCAGAGGTCATGATACTTCTGAAAACAGTTTTAATGAAACCTTTTGCGTATTATAAATTATTTGTAGAGGTTATTATGGTTACGGAATATAGTAATAACGACTTAGTAAAAGGTAACTGATATCAAATTATAATTAAGTTTGTTTAGCCCACCCCCCTCCCCACATTGAAAAATACTGGGTCGCCACTGATCCTACATGTATAATAATATGACTATAAAAAATAATATAATTTGTTTTTGAAATATTTGAATTAATACAAAATATAAGAAAATCGCTACAAGACAAATTGAGTGAACATCCAATGCAAAAATTTCAACTTCAAACGCTCATAAAATTTTAATTTGACTTACCGGAAGAAATTTTTTTTTGATAAAGGTAGACAAACTAATGAAAGATCTTGTATTACATTTTTAAGTTCAGATATAAAAAGAAAAATTTTTATGATTTTCTTACTAAATATAATATGCTAATTTTCGTGATTTTTACGAAATTTGTCGAAATACTAAGTTTAAATACTCATATAAAATTATTATGCATTTAGGTACTCTCAATTTTTTTTTAATTTCCATTAACAACACTTTACGAGGGACCTTATATTACACTTACAAGTTTTTGACAGCAAACATTTTTTTTATTGACTTTAGTTTAACAAAAACAAATAATCGAAAATTGCATATGCCTATAAATAGTTCAACAAAGTCAAAATATTTTGAAAATTGTATGGTATATAGAAAAAGCTAACACAGATATTCAGTGAAAATTTTATGTAATATCTACAGTCATTTTTATTAGTTACACTAAAAACAAAATCGATTTTTTCGGAAAATGGTTTTGCGTAAAAAATTCCGTGTTACCTTAATTTTTTGTTTGTTTTTCCGGTTGGTTTTGAAAACTATTGCGAATTTTAAATGTTGACCTCCCGAACGCACCAACTAGATTCATTTTCCTACCAGAAAAGTTGTTGTTAAGGATATCGAAGCACTTTTACTGCCCAAAACTGATGAACACAAATAAAATAAATAAAATCACACATCATTGTAAAATCAATACATCGCTCTGCTCAGAATCTAAAAAATTCTAAAATAAATATGAATAGTAATTTGTTTACTATTCAGTGTTGTATATTGACCATGCCACCTCCCCCATTTAAAGTTTTGGCTACACCAACAATACTGCCTACATAATAATATTCATTGTTATTGGGAAAAATAATATGGATAGACAGGCTTCTGGGTGGTTGCTAGAAGCATAATAAAATTCAATACATAGTACCCCTATATAATTGTTCTTTTATTTTGCAATGATAAATCCATTGTTTGAAATTTGAGACCTATAGGAAGCCCTTATTTCCTATAGGTTTATAATGTTTAGGCCATAGGGGTTTGTTTTTTTCCATTACATACAACAACTAGTAACTACTGAAAAAAATAACTAGACTCGCATAGTTACATATTATAAAAGTAATTATCAATAGGTATTATTGTTTTCTAATGGAACAATATTGTTTAGTCTACCTAATTGAAATTTGAATAATATCGAGATCAAATTAAATCTATTTTTGTGTTTTTATTTCGTCTATTGGTGTTGATTTTCAGTTGAAAACTATTAATTCGATTTAATCTTGTATTACCTATATATATTCGATTTATTTTCAATGTTTTGAGATATCTTTCATCAAAAAGAAATTCATGAGTACCCCCGATTTTAAAGGAGAGAGAAATGGATTTTTTGTCTCATTAGTAGTATTTGTAATAGCGTGCAAAAACACGTTTTAGTGTGTTGGACTTTATAATAAATTGCTGCCCAATGTGATTTATATTTAACCCACCAAATAAAACTACCAAAGCGAAGAACACGACATTCCTGTTTCCTGACCTTGATAAATTCAGGTGCTTGTAGCTTGTAATAAGATAAAAAAAAATATTATCAAATTATATACTTGACAAAAACATTCAATTTGTATTTAAAAATTGTATAAGTCATACTGTAGTTCTATAATTCAATTAAATTTTAACTATATTTTGTGAACTTATGGCTTATGCTAATGTCTAAATTAATAACACACATAATGTGTTAAACCAATCAACATGGAAATGCAATATAAAACTACTATATTTACCATGTTTATACTTCTTCATCTTTCTCAGTTAAATAAAAATGTAATAAAACTGGTTTTAACATTATTTGAGAAGTTACAATTTTGGACACTACAAACCTGATATTTAAATTTTTTTAATAATGAGTTAATTTAATAAATAATGATTCTGCAAATAACTTAATATTGTTATTGACAATAATTGAACTAGATAAAACAAATCTCAATATATATCAATTAATGATTACTTTATTTTGTTTCAGGAACAATGATGAAGTAAACTACCCAAATCAATAATCACAATGATCTATTGGGAGATTTTAATCCCAATTTTAATAATTTTAGAATTTTCAAGAAATACTTCAGGTATGATTATAATACATTTTTATACACATACAGTAAATATTTTGTTTCAATATTTTTATTTTTTGCAAAGTTAGAAAATATATTGCTTAATATGTTATATATATATATTTATTAATCTATTCATGACTTATTGTTTCTAGCAATTGGAATCTATTTTACGAGGTCACCCGAATCATTGGTAGCACCACTTCACGATGAAGTAGTGTTTGACTGCACTCTTAATATAAATGTAGACAACATCAAATGGTTGCATAACTCAAAAGATTTTATACATCCAGCTTCAGTACACACCAACAGTAATAGTAGACTTGTTGTTAAAGTAGAAAGTATTGCAGAAACTGGTGATTATCAATGTGTAGCTACCATTGGTGCATCTTCTTTGGCATCCACAGCAGCAACATTGAGTTTGGCTACGCTGAAGGAATTCGATAATCGTTCATTATCATTAAGTGAAGATAAATTTAAAATTACTGCAGGGAATACAGTTGCTCTGAACTGTGGAAATCCTGTTCAAAGTGATCCACCTGCTTTAATTCAGTATTATAAAAATAATCAACCATTACCCAGAACTACTCCAGTATCTTCAGCTGGATCGGTACTGTTGAAAAATATTCAATCTGAACATACTGGTCACTATACTTGTTCAGCCACTAACAATATTTTATCCCAAGTAATAAATTTATCTATGTCTTTATACTTGGATGTTCGTTCAAGTCATGCTGCTGCACTATCCCCGAGGTTTATAAGTAAACCACCATCTTTATATGTTGCTCAAAAAAGTAAATATTTATTTTCACTGATAATTGTTGATTAATTATTTTTGTATAATTGATATCTATATTATATTAAATATATTATTTTATGTAAAAATATAGAACATGTTATGTTTATTTACTTTTAAACATTTTTGAAATTTTAAAAACCATTTAACTATTGTTTTTAACCATTTTAGATTCAAATGTCAGTATTGAATGTGCTCCATACGGTGAACCAGTGCCTACTGTAAAATGGCTCGGAGTTCACAAAAATATACTTATGCATGACAACAAAACCAATATTGAATCTGGTTTGTTAACTATACGTAATCTTAGTATTGAAGATTCTGGTGTATACGATTGTATTGCTGAAAATAGTCATGGAAAAGTTAGTCATTCTATAACACTTCAAGTTCAAGGTAAATATTGTTTTGACATTTTGGCAACACATATTTTAATGTATCAAATTTTTTTGCTTATATTTTAGAGATGCCGTATGTGAAGAATGGTCCCAGTGAATCTGTGGTAATAAATGAAGGCAGTTCTGAGACATTAAAATGTGAAGCTATGGGAACACCATCACCCAAAATTATTTGGTATCTTAATGGGAAACCAGTTAATGATACAAATATACTTGTTAAAGGTTAGTTATTAATGAGCAATATCCAAACAATTATAATATATTTTTATAAAATGATTAAAATATTATTTAATTTAGGAAGCATTTTAACTTTAAACAACACTCACAAGTATCATGCCGGATTTATTCAATGTTTTGCCTGTAATATCCTAGGATGCTCATATTGGGCTGCTATGATTCAAGTCAATCCAAAACAAATTACACAACTTACTTCTCAACAACATTATTATGAAGGTGATTTTAATGATTTTATTATTAAAAGGATGTTCTGTTTGTTTGGATAAATAGACATGATTGTCTTTGGAATATTAAAAATTGTAATCTGTACAGTAATATAATCATTAAATGACTAATAGCTTGAAAAAGGTATAGAAAACAACTTTCCTTATTCATGAAAAAAGTTTTTTAAATGATAATTGTTGGTTCTTGCCTATTTTAAATTCTGAGCAGAACAAGGAACGTATTGATTTTTCAAGGATACATTATTTTATATTTATTTTTGTCTATAAACACAAATCTTTTCAGAAAATTGTCTACAATTAACTTTTAGGGTGGTTAATTTTAGCAAATTTGATCTAGTTAATAGTAAATTCGAGGGAGGAGGGATTCAAAAATTAATAATTGGAAAATACTTACAAAAAACAGCAAAGACAATTTTGCACAGTACCAGTATTTACAGCTGTATGTTGGCGAATTCAATTGACAGAATAATGAAAACCAAAAAATAGATTATGGATGAATTGTTGAATTGTGAATTGAAAATAGGAATTAATACTATTTTTTCTATTAGATTCTACAACACGGTCTCCTCAGCGAGATAGGAAAGACAGAAACCATAAAGGAAAAGGTAGAAAGAAAGATAAAAAAAAAAAAGGAAATGGTATGTTTAATTATAAAATATTGTATGGTCTATGTATTCAATATATTGTTTTAAATGTTCAATACTTTATATTTTGATAGAGATGGTTCCTCCTTCGCAGCCTAATGTAACCAGGTTAACAGAAAATTCAGTGATGGTACGATGGTTTGTTCCACCAAATGATGGACTGCAAATTCGATTTTTTAAATTGCAATACAAAGAAGTAGGTGGAAGTTGGAATACAAGCAGTGATGATATACAAATGCATATTCGATGTTATCAAGTGGACAAGTTATTACCTGATCGAGATTATGTGTAAGTGTTCAACATAACATTGGGTTCTTAAGTTTACTAATATACAAACATTACCAAACTATTTATTTGTAATTAATCTAAATAAAGTACATTGTCAACAAACATTCAATGTTTCAGCAAATTGCATTCTTGTTTAAGACTTATTATTTTTACAATACATAATTATCTAAACGTAGTTTTAGCATAAGCTTATTTAATTTATAATTGTAAATAGTTAGTTTTACTTATGGTAGTATTACAGTTTTAAACATTGAGTTTAATATTGTAATTCTATTAAATTAAATTATCATCTGATGGATTATTTTTACATCACGAATCTTCATTATGTTTCAGATTTAAAATAGCTGCAGTATATTCAAACGATGATAATAAATCTGGCCCAACTTCAAAACATTTCTTTTTGAGTAAAGGACCACCTAACAGATCTCTAATACCTCCAACTTTAGTATCAGCCAAAGCCGTTGATAGTACTTCTATATTATTAGAATGGGAGGTATGTAGTAATTATGTTAAAAAATATAATATGTTTATTTTGAACATCTTTATTAAAAGCTTATTATTTTATTTTTAGTACCTTAATTCTGTATTAGCTCCAGTTCAAGGGTTCTATGTCTATTATAGAGCTACTAGTACTGCAGGTGATTACACCAAAGCCATTGTAGATGGCCAAGATACCCGTGTCTTTGTTGTTACACATTTAGCCCCAGATACTTCATACGATTTAAAATTACAAAGTTTTACTGTACATGAAGCTTCCAATTTTAGCACCATACTCACACACAAAACATTTGGTATGTACCCTTAGATTAAAAATAATAACTTAAATAAATGCATACAAATTCACAATATAAAAGTTTTTGTTATATTTTTATAATATATTATATTATTTGACATTGCAAAAATTAATTTTTTTTAGGAGAACCTAAGACAAGTACAGATACTCCAAAGTGGAGTGACAACATACCAGATAATGTTGCAAATAATAATAATGTATATTCAACAATCGGTGGTGTGAAGTCACTCTACGTTTTGCTTGGTGCAGTTGCTGCTGTAATTGGAGCTATTGTTCTACTTATATTTTTTACAGTATGCATATACAGCAAACGGTTGTCATCACACTCTAATTCTCCAGGTAAATTATTGTTTTTGTATAAAACTTTTAACTACCTATTATTGCCACAATGTATTGCTATTTTATGTTTGATTTCTAGAGCTCAACAAGAGTTCTGAAGCAGTATCAGGGCTAGAGCCACTATCGATGAATGGGTTTGCTCTGAAAAATGGTAAAATGGTTAATGGATGCACATTGTCAATGGCCTCCGAGAATACACACGGGCATACTCATCCACCCAACGGATATGTTATCCATCCGATTAACATTACTAGTAATCCACTTGCTCCTGATGCTAAAGTAAGTTTTTATTTTATGAATTTAAAATTGTTATTAAATTAGAAAATTTGTTTGTTTTTAGAATGCTATAGAGATCTCTTATTTGGCAAATCATAATAACAATTGTTCTGAAAATGAAATTAATTCATTGCCCAGACGAGCTATGCCCTTACCTACAGATACTCCAAGGACGTGGCATTCTAAAGATGCAAAAGACGAAAACTATGTTTGAATTAAATATCCAAAAACCATTGCTGAATACAATGTTGTTTTCAAATAAAGAATGGTGTTCATCTATCAGACTGAAGGCGGTTTTATAACACATAGATAAGATGGAAATCTACAAGACTGAATGCAAAGTCCTGCCAATAAATTGCTCATTGATAAGATACTTTTATACCTAATTATAACAACTCAGTTTTATTTATGTGAAGGATTATTTTGTGTATACTTTTGTTACACAGTCAACTTTTTTTTTATAAATTTATAACTGCATATTTTGTGTACAATAATTGTAAAATTATTATCAGTATTGATTTTTTAGTAATTGCTCTTATTTGTTTGTTAACTATTTTTTTTATTTTTTTTTTTACATTGTTTTTAGTTATGCAGGGTACTTATGTGATTTAGATTAAGAATTTATATTTATACGATTACAGAATTTAGTTTTTAGTGTACCCTTAAATAATTGTGATCTTTGTGTTTCATTAATTTCAACTAAAATTTTAATTTATTATCTATATTAGCTGTATTACTAAACAGTGGCGCGTTGGACTTGTTTTTGACAAAAATCAATATTTAAATCTGTTCAAAATATGATCATTACCCAGTGGCCAAGTTGTGCTCATGGGTGTGGCTTTATTTCAAAGCACTGATCTAGCTCAGTGACTTGGTAGGAGAAGTGTCTGACTGCTGCCTGACAAAAACTGGTCACCGCCGGATAATGATCTTATTTTGAACAGAGTATAGACATACATATTAATAAACTTAATTAATTAATATTTTATTTTTGGTATAAATTACATTAATTTACTTTTTTGAGTTACATAGTAAGAATTCTAAATCATTGCTATCAATTATAGTTCATTTTTCCTTAAATACTTTAACCTAACTGTTATTTTAATTTATTTATGTAATTGTAATTTTATAATCATATTACTGCCCAAGTGATTGCTTTTTAAAGAGTTGTCCTACATGTGTCACTATTATATAATGTTCTCGTACTATTAATTTTGTTCGCTCATATTGTAATTCAGTATTAACAGTAACTAGTAACTATTTTCTACTTCCTATATTTGTGTTTCTTGTATTATGTTATCTGAATTTTAAATTTTAATGTATAGTTATAAATAATTTAACAATATGTTAAGTCAAAGTGCAATTTTAGTTTATTTTTATACATATTATTTTAATGTAAATTAATTTTTATATTACATTTTTTTTTCATGTATTCTATTATTTTCTTTACAAACCTTTCTTCAGTAACCATTCTTTAATTCTAGACACATGATCTCCATGAATACATAAATGACCACATACTTCATGTACTTTAGTAGCAATTATTTTTTTATCTCCGTATATTCTTGTCAAGTATTTTTTTATGGCCTCTTCTAACATCCATATGTTACCATCTACATTGTTTATTTGTGTTATACGTCTTGTTCCTCTCATGGAAACTTTGAGATACACAGGTAGCATATGATTGCGTGTCCGATGGACAAAGTAAGGATATTTTCCAAATGTCGCTGTAAAACCATAAATAATAATAAAACATACAAACACCTTATCATATTATTTTTTTACATTAGGGTATAAACTTTAGAGAAGTATAATTTTTTATCAATATTTTGATCTACTTCATTTTTACATGATTTGGTCATATCGACACAGTTTTTAAGTTGTATAAATAAAATATGATTTATAATTTTAAAACAACTTATTTTTATACCATAATTAATTAATATTTCACTGGGGATTTATATTTAAACAAATTTAATTCTGAATAATTATTCAAATAGTTATAAGTTGGTATTTACTATTTACAAGTTTTTTTGTATTAAAACAATAAACATTGCTTTAAATTGAGAAGTTTATCAGAAGTGCCACCTGACAGAGTAAATTAGTAAATCTCTAGGCCAGGGGGGTGTCTGACATCTCTAGGGGTTATCAGGAACTTTGCAAAAAAAAAGTAAATTAAAGCAGGGATATGATACTGTATAAATTGGGTAATCGAGGCCTTGAACACCGTCGTGGCATACTTAAAATAGGAAATGATAAACAAGCTGCCCCGCTTTTGTGACAGTAAATGTTTCCTGAATACAGGTAATCAAGGGTCTAACATCATGTTGGTATTGGGCTAGTTTCTTAGGTTCAGGCTTCAGATTATAGATACACAAGAACCCGATCAGCTGATCGAGTGTCGCTTTTTTATTATAGAACAAGATTATTGTTCTATGATAATAAAGTGGACTTTGATGGTGGGTTAACTTTGAACAAAATAAAAGATAATATGATTTTGTTAAATGAAAAAGTGTTCAAGTTTTCAAGTCAGTGTGGAGATTATTATTTTTAATGCTCCAAGGAGCAGAGATAATTTGACACAGCCAAATTAATTGTAAATTTACAAAATTAGAAAAACAAAATGAAATTGCTAGCAAAATTACCCACTGCAGCTCAATGCACCAAAAATGTAAATGCAGAAATACTTATAAGAAGTTATAACTGATGGTTTAAAATATTCCAATCAGCAATATCTTGTCAAACAAAAAAATATTAAAATATTTACAAACATTTCCATACTTTTTTTAAGATGAATAATAACCACAGAGTATAATATGATATAATATGTATATTATATATATATTATAATTAACACGTTCAGTTATATTATATAGATGTTGTTTACCTGTCTGTGGCTGCCATCCTGATGGCAAATCTTTACTGTCAGGAGGTGTAGGTATGATAGTCATCGGAAGAAGTCTCTCAACAAACTTCCATTCTTCTGGCGAAGATGATACTTCATATTTGGCATAACATGATGAATCTTGAGCTATTGGACTTGAACGGTATGATGAATCACGTTTGTACATTAAATTCTATATAACATCAATGATAAAAAATTCACAAAAAGGACCAATTGTGTTTATAAAAAATATTTATATATTTTGTATGAAGATATAATTTATAAAAATAATCAACCTCCTAACTAAAATGTATCAAATTATACTTTCAATAAATTGCATTATGTTAATTAGTTTTAACTCACGATGCCAGTGGTGGCTCGTGTTATGGCGCACAGAAGCATATGAACTACCCAGAAAAAATTACATAAAAAATTAAAAACTTTATGATTAAAATTAGGCAGTTATTAATAATTGTGCACATGATCTGAACACAAAAAAATGTTCATTATAAAAGAAAAGTTTTTTGTGTTGACATGTATGTTTACACCATGAGCCAGGGTCGTATAATCGCTTAGGCTGTGTAGGCTATAGCCTAGGGCGGTAACATTTTTTTTAGAGTGGCCCAAAAACAACGTAGAAATATTAGTAAAGTATCAATACCTATGTAAATTAGGCGGTAAATTTATTTCAGCCTATGGGCAGCAAAAACATTAATCCGGCCCTGCTCTGAGCACATATTTATTCTACTCTGAGACCTGAGCAGCAGTACAAATATTAACTACATGCATTGCCGTGTCGGGAAATAAAACATGATCTTTTGGTAAGTAAATAGATAACTGATATGCTTAAGTATTTGATTTCAATGATAGTTTAATGCTTTTGTAATACTTGAAAATGGCAAAGATTTGTTTAAAAACTTTATTTATTATTTTGTAGCTATCCATGAATCGTGGTTTAGGAGAAACTATATGAGAAATTCAAAAATCTACAAGTGTCTTGCTGTTCTTTGAACCCAGCAATTTTAAACACTTTCATTAGATATCCGTATCCTGATTAGTGATTTCCAAAATATTTTAAAGTCACTTACGTTTAATCGCAAAGTAATTCCACTTCTAAGCATGGCATTTTTGAAAAGTATTCGTACAGCCATAGCGAATTTCAAGCAGAGTAGTTTAGAAAAACAAAATTACTTAAATATTAGAAAAATTTAAAATACTAATAAGTAATTGTACAGTGTGTTATATTTCTATGAGCATGAGAAATGAGTATTAACTATTAAGTATATCAGCATTCAGCATGAATTACGACTATTACGAGTATTTTAGAAGCCGCAAATTGTTTTTGGGTTTTTATCACAGAGACACAGAACAAAAATAATATATTATTAACAAGATAAAAATATTCTTTATCACAGTTCTTATCATACTCCGGGGAACTATCCTATATTTTGTTCCATACATTACGGCACAGATATATATATACAAAACACATATCTATAACCGTGCATTACAGTAACTACAACTTTTTTTACTACTAGACAAGAACTGAATTACTGAAGAACTGTATAACAACCACAAACTTAGTCTTCAGAGCAAGTCCGTGATCACAACCTTACTGCAATACGATTTACGAGCGGCGGTAAAACATCTCGCAGTGATGACGTAACTGTCTTGACGACAAACTACAATATATCTAAACATCTTACCCTATTACCCCGCACTCCCGAACATATTGAGTAATCTATCGTTTGGCCTCTTTCCATACACTCATTGCATTTGCTTGTATAGTAAGTTGTAGTATAAGGTCTATGGTTCTATATAAATCGTTTATTTTCTAGGATTGGTTGATTTTTTTTATAGCGATAGGTATTAGGTATAAACTGTTCATTACATCACTGTCTGGTTATTCCTTACTACCATATTGTTCTGTGGTAATATTCACAATTATTATTATTATTATTATGGTTTGTACTGGTTACTAAATTACTTGTATTCAGGACTGTTTTATTCTTCCATTTTGTAAACAGTCAGCTGGCGTGTCATCCGACACACTGTACCAATATGTTAATGATAAGAGACAACAAGACCTTTTGTTGTTTTCTGAAGCGAAATAGTTAATAGACATTAGACTCATCTTTTCAAATACCTTCTCAACTAAATAAAAGATACAGTTTATGAAAACTAATATTTTTAATTTTACCACAATTTTTGGTCAATCGTGTGTAGATCGTGTTGGGAATTCGCTGTAGGCCATCGTCTTTACTTAATGGCCAATATGTATTTTATGTTCTCATTGACAAAACAACACAATCATTAATTAATGATTACACTATGAATACTACACAGCTTTAAAAATAATATAAATTATCTGTTTTGTTGTCGGAGATTGTCGTGAAATGGCCGGTAAAACTCCATCCGAAGTATGTATCAGCTTATACATTGTTGTTACAAGTACATATTTTTTGTAAAATATTGTTTGATCATTTTTTTTATTTTACATAGAAAAGACTTCATAAAGAATTGATATCGCTCGTTAAAGAACCTCCTCCAGGAATGGTTGTAGATGCTGACCAAGCTGAACAAAATCTCAATATGTTAGTACAAAATTAATCTTTGCTTTTGTGTTGGCTTAAACTTTTTATTTGATAATGTGTAATTTGTAATTTAATTACAAATATTTAAATATTATGTATCCTGTGATAATATTATTAACATCTTAAGAGAATGTCACATTGGCGTGTATTATCTCCATCTTGCAAACATACAATATAGGAAATTTGCTTTTAGTTGAACCAATTTTGTGCTATTAGGCTTAAGGTGGTTTCACACCTAGGACCTAGCAAATGTTTGCAATGTTGACTCAATATAAATTGTTATCTTAAAATTAAACATGGTTGCGTCTTGCAAATATTCCCTCGTGTTAAGTATAATGGCTATGGAATCCAACTAGATTGAATCGACCTATTACCAAACTTAAAGATAAGAACATTATGTACTGATTATCAATTAGTTCTTTGATTTTTTACGTTATTTAAATTCTCCAGCAAGTTATTGCAATTTAAAATTTTTCATAACTCAGTTACAAATAGAAATATTATATAAAATCAATGCAAATTCACTAGTATATTTAAAATGTATTGGTTTTAATTATAATGTGTTTTTGTTTTATTGTTTGTTATTAATTTTATCATACATTTATTGTATAGGTATTAGATATATATATTTTGTTAGGATCTTGTAGCTTTTATGTAAATTTAATACTAAAAAATATGTATTACTTGTTCTGTAACATAAATTTGGATGTTATACTATCCAAAGTATTTAATCTAGTTAACAATCTAATATTTTAGACTTGAGTAAGTCTTGCAGGTCAGCACCAGATAGTTAGGATTAATTAAAACGAATGAGAGTAATTTCACCAAATAAAAGTTTCAGTAGAAGAATTAAACAAATAATTGAATTAATTTAAAAATGTCAACTTGGATTTTCTAATAATCTAACTACCTGTGATTTAAGTATAACATTTTTTTAAACAGGTACAACTGAAGGATTTTTTTTGTTTCAAAATTATCTGGTTTTAGTGATAGTTATAACTTCATTAGTTCATAGCATATCATAGATATTTTATTTTCTATATGATGTTTAATTAATTAATCTTACGTTTTAGTTGGACTATAAATATGCAAGGTGCTGAAGGTACTATATATGATGGAGAACAGTTCCAGTTGCAGTTCAAATTTGGTACCAGTTATCCTTTTGAGTCGCCTGAAGTAAAAAATTTTTATTTTATTTTATTTTAACAATTTATTTAATAACAATAATTTTTTTTTAAGGTTACATTTGTGGGCCAAAACATTCCAGTTCATCCACATGTGTATAGTAATGGACATATTTGTTTATCTATTCTTACTGATGACTGGTCACCAGCATTATCTGTTCAATCTGTCTGTCTTTCAATTATATCTATGCTGAGTAGCTGCAAAGAAAAGGTGATTTTCACAAAAATGACATAAATAATAATATAATATTCTGCAAGGTTTTACTAGTTTAAAATAGTGAAGGAATATAAATAAGTGAATCCTCACTTAAACACATCATTTTATAGAATAATATTTTTTCACTTTCACATTACTAGATTTGTATGTATATATTTTGTTTAGTGTATCGGGTGTATGCACTAAAAAGGAGTAAAAAATGTGCATACATTTTTCAACTTAAAATTAAAATTAACATTAAATGTAATAGAAAATAATGTTTTCCCTATTAGTTGTTTGTTTAAGAAAAAAAAAGCCAATCGTAAATATTTGCAATTAATTCGTTAATAATACCAAGTACTTACTTTTGATTGTAAGTACTTGACAGTTGCTATATTTTATCATTTCTTATTTATTTAAAATAGCCTTTCGATTTAGGAACAATTATTAAGACACGGGACCATTTGAAGGGGGCCTAGTCGGTGATCGCTGACCTGGCCAGACCGCTACTGAATAGGACCCATTGATTCATATTTCTAATTTAACTATTTTTATTAGTACAGCCATAAATTTGTTTTTAAAAAATTGAATAGATAAGTAATTATAAATTTACATTTGTATAAGTATTTCAAGTACAATTAATACAATATGAATTCTGATATTTGTTGTAAACTTGTATTGGACTTAATTATTTAAATTCTAATGTGATTGCATTATTGCATGTATCATCATATATTATAAAATTATATGCTAAACCACAAATAATTTGTATTATAATTTACAGAAAAGACCTCCAGACAATAGTTTTTACATAAAAACATGCAACAAAAATCCAAAAAAAACAAAATGGTGGTACCATGGTAAGCAAATAAAATCCCATACTTTTATGAACCGTTTATTATTATTGTAGTTAATGAAAAAATATTAAGATTTTGTATTTATGGTTAATTTGTTTTCTTTATATTTTTAGATGACAAAGTTTGAAGTATTGAACATCCATTATTTAATCTTTTCACTACAATATATTCTTATTTAGTGAAAATTGTGATCTTATTTTTATTGCAATTAAATGTACTCACTTTAACAAAATCATTAATTAGACCCAGATCCTGTTGAATGTACATTTATTTATTATAAATAAATATGATTACTTTTCAATTATTATACACACTAATAAATATGTAATGTACTATTATTTTCTTAAGTTGAGTAGTGTATTTTAATAAATAATCTGAACCCATATTGCTAATAAAATATTCCATGAACAAGGTAAAAATATATTTGTAAAAATCATGTATTTATAAACATAACATAGGTACATTAATATATTAAATTGTAAATCATAGATAAATGGAGTATAAAGTTATTATCCTTATTTATTGGGAATATTTTAATTAAAATAACACAAATGACACATTTTGAATAATTTAACTAATTGATATTGATTCCTGATTTAATATATTTAAATATCTATATTGTCAATGGTATTTGTATTTAATATTTGTTAACGGATCTTTTTGCACTCAATTCAAATATTTATTACTTATAAAATTGAATTTGGTTTATTATGTTTACATCCTTTTTTTAAATATTTTAATTTGTTCATCTCCTTTCTGTGAAAGTTACAACTTCAGCCATTAGCTACTAATGGCATAAACTATTTTTATGTTCTGGCAAGCTATAATTATTTTAATTTTTCTTTTTCTGTAACAAACTATTGTTAATAAACTTGAATGGGCAGTAGTTTCCCCACCACTGCTTTGAATGGCTAAAACTTATTTATTGCTTATAAAGTTTAGAGGGGCAAACAAATGGAAAATTTTCACCCGGCGATTGTAAATATAATAAAAAATATCATTATTATAAAAAACAATTGTTACAATTTTTTTTCAATTATACAATTTTTGCACGTACGGCGGCATCGAAAATGTTCCTGGTGACTTAGAAGTTTCGATTCCAAATGGTTCCACATTTTGTGATACTTAAACTTGTGATTGTGTTGCTTCATTCGTGTTTTGAATTGTATCAATATTTTTGAACACAGGCGACATATTTATTAGATGCATGATAACATCTTTTTCCCATTAAGAGGACATTACACCCGAGTTTGCTATTTCCGTCTTACAAATGTAAAACATACCAAAAACTGTTTTGCTCGGAAAAGAACAGAGATGATTATACGGTAATACCTAAGAAACGAAATTTTCACTACATTTAGTACCTACTTTGACTGTGAAATACCGTTTTTATTTTTTCGATATCGGAGCTACAAAAATGTTATTCAAGTTTGAAAAACACAAAAATTTTGAATTTTGAAACAATGAGCACTTTTTTGTGTAAGTAAAAAAAAATTTACAATAACAATATTTCACACATAATGTCCTCAACTATATTGTTTATAGAGGAGTCTTAAAATCTTAAGTCTACCCTTCACTATAACCTGAGTGGTTCTCAGTGGTATCAATCTTCACTATGTTGTACATTTGTAAGACCAAAACAACACATGCGGGTGTAGCGTCCTCCTAAGGCTGTTAAAAGCGGGTTATTTTGTCGTGGATTTAGATCAATAAGCGGAAGGAAAAAAATATTTGAACATATTATTCGCTTCTTGGCTGTGTCTTGAAGGAAACGAATACTCATTACTCAATATACTTATTCTGTTATTCAACAGTTCAACAAATCGAAAGTCCATTCCCGACATACACTATAGTA